ATTTAAAGAAAAAACGATACTCTTAAAAATGTATCTATAAACAAGTCAAAGACACGTGTAACCGTGTAAATACATAATTATTTACATTTTAACTGTAACATTTAGCGGATATCACTTGTTATGAGCATGAGGTATCATTACAAAATTCTCTGTGTCTACTGATCATTTGCTCTGATGCAACATGTGTCATGTAAATGGTTTAATACGGAAAAATCACTATGAATAATGAAAGCAGTCTTATTTCTTCCTTGTACATGTATAAAGCGACAAATAAATGCACGTGCTAATGGAGGAAAATTTCATTGCAATAAGCGAGTCACTATTTATTCTCCCAAAAAATAGTTTGGTTAGAAAAATTAAGATTTAAAGCAAATACATTTTCACAAAAGATAAAACAAAAATTGAAACAAGGAGGATTTATGCAAACATATGCCCTGAAAAAATGTAAAAATGTAAGAGCAGTAGATTTAAAACATGTTCCCGTCCGGTCATGGGTTTTTATTGTATATATAATAACGGCTTTTGTATCAAATATATAATTTGAATTACTGTCACGTACACATAAAAGAATCCTCAAAGTTTCAATTTTTGTTAAAATGTCTTTGCTTTAAATCACATATCTTAATTTTAAACCAACCTAATTTTTGAGTTAGTTAAAGGCAAATCATTCCTCAGGAATGAATACTTTTTTCCTTGCATATAAAAGGCAAACATATGTGTTATTATGTTGTATTTATGGATCTAGAACATGTGATTTACTTACCACCTGGACTTAGAACATGTGAATTGCTTACCACCTGAAGTCAAATATTGCTCAGCTATAGGGTCAATAAGTAACATTTTGAAAACTTAACAAGGCACCGAATGTATTTTTTTTAAATAAAAATTCTCAAGTTATTTTGTATCGATTTGTTGTTGTTGTTAGCTACAATTTTTCATTTTCACTATTTTCTCTTTTATTTAGTTGAACCAAAATAATTATATAAAGCAATCGAAATTAAAAGGCCTACTCATATTCACAGACAGTAAATTTGTCGTTAATTTTTTTCTTTTACTTGATTTCTAGCTTATACTAAAATAGAAATTGTAACTTTTTATCTATGAGTTACCCACATATGTATTTATTTAGAATATTATTTTAATGTCTGCTGTAATTTGGTGTCATGTCAAATGTAAACTCGAGGAAATAAAAGAATATTGTATTGCACATTGTTTGTTATACTAAAGGGATACAATATATGCAGTCGAAATAATATAGTTATTCACGAGTGTTTACATTCTGAGCAGTTAATATGGTTCAATCATGAGTTAGCATTCTTTGAATTTTAAGTAAGATCTGATTAGGAATGGAAAACGTTTGATTTATGTTAAAATTTGTGTAGGCACGCATGTTCCTATATGACATATGGACATGCGTATTTCACATTCTTAAATATAAGTATATATGTGTTACTAATACCTGGCATCTGCAAATATTAACCCCCTGGGGTTTATCGAGAATTTCAGATATGAGGTATTTATTGAGAAACTGCCATGGTGTCAAATAAGATAAGAACGTTACTTTCTTGTGGTAATAGTTTTGAATGCGGACTTCTCAATGGATTAGGGCAAGACTATTCTACATCTTACCAGATTATGATGAACTTGGAGTAGTTTCATAAATGCCTGTTCATTGAGCTTTCGATATCTGCATTAAAAATAAAATGCAGTAACTAATGATAAAATTTATGACATGCTTTGATCGCAAATGCACAAAAATGCAAATGAAATTGCAAAACGTTCCATACATTTTACCATCACATTTAATTTCCTTAACAATAATCATTCCATATTGTCACGGCTTTGAACGTGATGAATTGAGACTTTAATTGAAGTATAGTATAAGTATTGATAGTATGGAAGAATATAAGGTTAAATAATAATTTCTTTAAATTCTAAATAAGCAAGATAACTTCAAGGCAATCAAATAAAGTTACCAGTAATAAGAACATATTCGATCGATTCCAAATGCATTGATCACAGAATCTGCCATCGACATCGCTTCAGTCTAATTTTGATGTTTTAGAACCAAAGTGTCTTAAATTGATACATACTCCCATATCACCAGAAGTAAAACGACATCATATGACTTTGAAAAAACTTCTGCATAAAACTAAAATCTTTGCATTACATGGATAGGAGTAATTTATTGAAGCGCTGCTATTCATGATAATAAATTAAATAATTTATTTGAAAAATCATGTACTGAATAGTGACACCAGAAACACTGTTTTATATTTTTAAGAGTAAAATTGTCTTGAATTGATACTCTCAAAGGTAACGCAAAACTGAAGAACACTATGATTTTAAGGCCAGCTACATGGGTAAGAGTGTACTATGAAGCAAGAATGAATTATTGTCCATATTTTTAAGTTTATTTACTGTAGTGGTTTTAGATTTTAAATAAATCAAATAGTACTCGTATATTATAGGGATTTATGTCCATAACCAATATGAATTTCTTTTTAGAAATTTATGGCAAAGTCAATGGACTTCTATTCCGGACTATCGTTCTTACCATCATAATCTTCTTATTCATTTTTCATTATGTATTTCAGTACAACTAAGTATTTGTAAAATCATCTTATCTGAGCCTTGGATATCTAGAGCGATATCAGTAATTTTAAGAATTTTTCTCAACCTACATTAATATGTTAACTACCGGTATTTTTAACTCACTATTTGCAAAAACACTTTCATTTTTCATACTTTACCTAGCACACCCACTGTGCAATATAGACTTTAGCGACTAACATTGCAATTTTGATATCTACTGTCTGGCATTTATCAAGTGATAGACAACCGTATTATAATATCGGAATGTATCTTCAATTGTAAATGAACAATAATCTTACGTATGCGTATTTCTTCGGTATCGTTTTAAAATTGATAGTAAAAACTTATTATCATTTTATTTGAAGAGCAGATATAAAACGGCGACTGTGCATTTACGCAAAAAAAATATATTTGAAGCTTTCTTTACTAATCTTATGAAAGAGAAAAGCATTTAATGCTTGTTGACGAAATACGCAGATACGTAATTAATTGACTACAAAGTTGACTTTCACCTTCAGATGCCATACTAACAGATTTGTTTACATTATAAAGAAATTGATAGGGTAATTTATTAATGATTCGATATAATTGAAACAGACATTGTCATATCAAATATCAAAACTGACGTCTTAAGTTAAAAACATTTATTCTTATTTTTTATAAGCGGCTCGAAACTAAAAAAAAATTCATTTCACTGTTGACAATGTTTCATTTAGAAAACTTATCTATAGCATATTTATAATACCTTAAATATACAAAGTATAACTGGCAACAACGTGCATTTTATGATACGGTTTAAGCCAAGACAGTTTTTTCTACGGAAGCCTGTTTGTACCATTTTGTCTTGTTTCTCATATTTAAAATTTAACATAAGATATTAAATCTTTTACAGAGTCCATGTAATATAACAAAGACCTATTTATTTTTAAAAGAAACACAATTATGTTTTGTGTGTCCAAATAATTTTAGCTGTAGAAGTAAACAGGGGATTAAAAAGATGATACATTTTATAACTGGATCTGTCTCTGTACCAATGTTTTACTCTCAGATAAACGTATCACTTAATTTTGAATATCACTATTTTTATATAGAAAAACAAATTTCATCAAGGACCTTGCAAAGATCCATTTTCGTGTTGCCTTTGTTTAACAATCTCGCCTGATTATTGCATGATCAAATCGAGGTAGATATAAATCATCGTTAACTGCTTCTAAAGCATAATTCACGTGACATGCTTGCAGAATATCAAATAAATACATAATTTTACATTTCCTTCATGTTTGTGTTTTGGTTACCATCTGTCAGCTCCATTGCACCATCACATAACACTTGAATTAATTTAAACTACCGTCTTCTCTCCTGTATCAAGAAGTTCATTTTCTCCCTATTAGCTTCGAACTTGCTTCGGCTGTTGAATAGGCTCTTGTCCAAATTTCATTTTCTTTCAATATAAAAAGTAGCTATTTATTTAGTCATTTTAAGTTAATATGTTATATTGAGAACAGTATTACCATAAAGTAAGCTAAAAAATCCCAGTGTATATAAATGTCCCCTGTGGATTAAAGATTAAATATACTGACTAGTATTATCTAGTGACCATAAAGATGTTTGCCTATCAGATAACTTAACATTCCATACATAATAATAACTATAATCTAATTTAAGTATTTTTAGAGCATATGTCAGGACACAGTCACCTAAGTACTTGTGATACATTTGAAGTGTCATTATGGTTGTTAAAATTTTGATAATCACGCATTTTGAGATGATAGAAATTGGGCATTTTTTCTCTATTTTCTATTTTCATATTTAGGAAAATAAAAACAAAATAATTGGCTAATATGAGTACGGTTTAACATGTCATTTTCAAGCAACCGAATGCATTATAAGCATGAGTGTGCAAATATCAGAACACGAATACAGAACGAGAGAAATGGTCCGAATACAAATGTGACACGGAAAATTAGGTCCACGGTTGAAGTATGAAGAAGTGCAGATTTGTCAGTCGTATGGATCCGTAAATAATGTCTAAGTATGGTGAAATCTCTGAACAGATATGTAATCAATTATTTACTTATAGCGTCTATGTTTGCCATGTTTGTGATTTAAATATTCCATTACCTTAACAAGAAATATGAAAATGAGCCAATCCTGTCAATGTTTTTACGATTAATAACCATTTAAATGACCAATGATTAAAAATAAATATCTTAAAACATTTTTCATGTAAACGGATATATCAGTTTTAGTAAAGTTCATATTGATTTTAATTTGAAACACTTGGAATTTCTATAGATAGTAAAGTATATTTTTGTCTCACAATTATTTTTTGCAAAGCCTCGTCTTCGTCACCAAAGTCACGTGATATAAATTAGCCGCATTTTGATGAATTTCGTGCAAACTTCCTTTTAATATTTCGCATGCGGACATTTACGAAGGACAGGAAAAATAGATCAAATTAGACCAATAAAGCGTATTCATATATTAACAAGTGTAATAGATTACTTGGTACGGATCTTTTAGGTCGTATAGAAGACTTTTTAACGGAGTGAAGGGTTGAAAAAATGGATTTATCATCTAGTGGCATAATAACTGTTCTGATTTTGAGTTTTTGTTCTTTGACATTTGGACAAATATTAATAGATGATGAATCAGAAAGTTCATATATTAACGGTATGTATCTAAATTTTTTTTTTATTATGATTTTTTTCTTTTTGTTTTATAGAATTCTTTCTTTTACAGTTTTTTTCTTTATTTTTTTATTGTGTGCTATATCTTCATGTGGCATTTTTTTTCAAATATCACTTCCTCTATCAATCTATTCATTTTAAGCATTACATTAAATATCTAGTTATTTTCATCTCGTTGCAATTTGTTTATTATTGTAAAAGATAAAAGTTTGATATGCTGTTAGTTTTCGTAAAGAATCATTTGAACACTTGAAAGCAAAAATAAATAAATATATATATAAATAAATAAATAAGTAATAATTATGATAGATAAATAGATAATAATAATAATAATAATAATAATAATAATAATGCTAAAATAAATAAATGATAACAGTGTATGAGAACGAATAAGATTTAAAACTAAAAATAACTGTTAACAAAGCCATTTCATTCGTTGTTACATTGGCATCAGATATTTTGTACATACAATAGTTGATATCACATTTTATTTATAAGTATCAGTATCCAAACCCAGTATATCGAAAGAACAAGATGTTTTGTAATTAAATCTAAAAAAAGTCAATTCCATGAGGTGATACTCGTCATATCTGCAACACTGGTGGATATATATGATATGATATGTCTTTCTTAAGAGTAATTTAAAGAAGATATTACAACGTCATGAAAACTGTCAATGTTGTAACAATTTCACTTTCTTTGTCAAATTCAGCGGATACACAATACACGAGTGTGAACCATTATATCAGTATGAATTCAATACATGACTGATCGTAATTGAAACAATAACCAATTAAAATGAATATCAGACGAAATCATTAATTTTAAAACGGAAAAATTTTGGGTATTTTTTCCTGATAAAATTTCCGAGCCTTTGAACGAAGCTGCTCGCTACTACTTTAGCAAAGTGTAATAATTTTATTAATTCTAATTGAATCATATGATAAGTTTTATTCAAGGGATGTTCATGCAGTTAATATGTAATTTAAGAGTGCTGTATATATTTATATCTAATTTAAAATTCCGATGGTAAAGACCATGCAAAGTATGAAGAAGAAGAAAAAGACATTGCTACATTTAAGTAAATGTGAGCATACCTAATAGATAATTTGTATTTTTTATTCAATAAGTTATACTGAAACAAAAATCATTGACTAATCACAACCTGTGATATTATAATTATTGAAAATAAGTATATTTCTTTTACAAAGAATATGATTTGACAAATATAGTTTTCCAATGCCAGTATTTTTTACATTGTAAAACTGCAAGATTTAGCAATCACTTGTCGTGGGCGTGCGTGTTTTTCCCCAAGACATATTAACTGTGTCGGGTGTCACTTAATAAGGTTAATCAAATTTCATATATATTTCTCCTTACAAACTATGGTTAAATAAATCTATACCCTTTTCATTTCTCCATCGTTTAGGTGCTTCGATATTAAACTGCTAACGAGTGTCAAATGTTTGTGCATCTAATTTCAACACAGCAGGATATCGGGTGTCAATTGACTCAAATGTCTTTAGTTATGTTTTATGTCAATATATCTTTATGTCTAGTTACTTGATATCTGCAGATTGACCTTACTGCAACCGCCCTATAACCGATTTTGTCTGTATTAAACTTAGTCATGTAAAAAGATTTTTGTTCAGTTGGTATGTTTAATTGATGTCATTTTAATATTTCAAAATGATATACATTTTATTCTCAAAGGTTTGTTTAAAGGAGGCAATTATTATTATACCAAATATATTGTTTTTCTGTGTCGATGTTTTTAATTATTCAAGTCACGTACTATTATACTCAGAATGATCCGAAAGTCAATAAGAAAATATAATATTCTTCAAAGTAAGTTGCAATTTAATAGCCATCTTTTAAAAGCAAATTTAAGCCTAACACCTTTGTTTATTTACTTATAATTGCAGTTTTATCAATGTTCATCCTACTGTACAAATCTTTAAATTGAACTCCTTTAAATTCCCCCATAACAGGTCAATATCTTATGATATTTAATGAAACTAAAGTGTTTTGTTTAAATGTCAGGTCTGTAAATAAACAATAGATTAAATATTATTAAATAACTTCAGTTCAAACAACCATTTATATGGAAAAGTTAAACCATCAAATTAAAATAACGAGATTGTATAACAAACGTTTCTATTCATATTTTACATTTTAGCTTTATCATTCACTTTTGGCAGACGTTCGTTCGAAACTGTACCCTTTCCAAAGAATTCGAAAGTCGAAGTGAAAAAAGAAGACATTTATCAGAAAACTGTTTTCTTCCTCCTGCGTAGAATCTATAAGCTACCTTTTCCTTTTAATTTATTTTTGTGTTCCATCAAAAATCATTTACCCTTGCATCCGTTCCGTTCCTGGATCCTTTCGTTCCTTGCGTTCCTTCCTTCCTTCCTTCCTTCCTTCCTTCCTTCCTTCCTTCCTTCCTTCCTTCCTTCCTTCCTTCCTTCCTTCCTTCCTTCCTTCCGTCCTTCCTTCCTTCCTTCCTTTCCGTTCATTCCTTCCGTTCCGTCCTTACTTCCTTCCTTCCCTCTCACCTTCCTTCCTTCATACCTTCCTTCCTTTATTTCTTCCTTCTTTCATTCCCGCCTTCCTTCCTATCTTCCTTCCTTCCTTCATTCATGCCTGCCTTTCTTCCTTCGATATGTCTACTAAGACTGAAAAAACTGTTAATATTCCGACCTGCTATGTAATGTATATCATTAAATAATTTTTATTCCATGCATTATCTTTTACATATTTAGTATATCATATTATTCTATCGGCATAAACCAAATAAAACAGAGGTAATATTTTCAGTAGAGGTAAAATCGACCATATTTAAATTCTGCTTTACGACATAAAGACACTGGCATACACGTTATCATTGATGGTTGAAATCATGAGAAAACAGCTTTCACCAATAACCTTTTCTCTGTATTCGTAAAGGTTTTTTTAAAGGTAATAAGACCCAGACCACAGTTATTTTAATCTATCTATTTAGACTCTGAGTGACATTGCAATTTTCTAAAGGTTCCAACTTATGTGAGATATTTGATAAAATAAATTCTGTAAATAAGAGATTGGTCGGCTCCTTTTTAAATCAAAGCACAGAAAGCGCTGAATTTGTTTGCGTCTCAGACAATCAGAAACGTCAAAGTTGAGAGATGATAGTCTTTCGTTTGCTGTAATAGTTGGAAACAAATGCTGAATAAGCGGGGATTGATCACGTGACAAATTGATGCGTTTTTTCCATTTAAACGATCGCCTTTTAATTGAAGGGTACAAATTGACGACTTTATAATAAAACTTATATAAATATATTGCCGATAATTTGCTGAAATTTAAAAGAATTGCACAATAGTAGGTCTACAAATCTTTGACCAACCGGGAACTATATTTTCTGTTCTCTGAGAATGTGTGAAAATCAATGCGCTTGTCAGGTAATTCATACTGAAGGACTTTTTGCGAATTGGTAGTTTACGATATTGTTGTCTGAAATTCTGCTAACAATTTTTGTTTGGGTCTGACGACCAAACCTAATAGAAATCAGCTATATGAAGCACGTATGAAGATATATTGTCATGATGGTTTTAGACAGGCAGACAAAACACCCTAGTGAAAAAAGATCAGTGTGCATATGTTTACATTCAAATTGTTTCAAAATTAACACTTATCAATCATTTTATACCTCCTCTGTTGAAATATGTCTCGTAAAGACACAAAGTGTTAATGGATTGGGTTATAAGGAGAATTTCGGATGTTAAAAGTACTTCCAGATAGTGGTATCTACAGTCAATGTGGATTCATGGCTTGATAATTGTTTAATTAAGCTAATCCATTTTTTTTTATAATTTACAGTTACTATGATAAACATATTTTAGATAGTTTTTGCTATTGATATTATTAAAAAGACCATTACAAAAACACTCTCGTCACGGTTGTATATTGGTCGAAAATGAATAATATTAATGCAGTGAAATTATACGCATACTTTTATTTTATTATTTAAGAATACATTGAATGAGTGACTAAGCACGAAAACGCGACACTCACACTTAAGCGGATCGGTATACACCTAATTTGTTTAGTTTGCTACCGTTTTTACTGATTATTTTTCATTCAGCAAGATTTTCTTCAGGTGATATGAACGTCATATGTTCTAAATTAATTATTACATTATTATAAAAATGTTTTTGCCTTTTTTTTGCAGATGATAAAAATATTAAGTAAATGTCATGACCAATTGAAAAAAATGTCTTAAACCTTTTTCACTTATACGAAATAAATGGAAAGATTTAATAGTAACCCTGTTTTATTACAATGGAATTTTCCTCTTTTTGAACATACATTTGTTGGCAACAGTATACACAAAGAAGAAAATAGATTGCTCCTTACGTTTAGAGTAACTTTTTAAATAAAATAAATAGGTATCAATTTCTGAGGTTTAGTGTAAATTTAGGTCTTTTCTTGAATGTATAGATGGAGATTTAACATACAAACACACAAAAAAGTTCTCTTAGATGGTATAAGATTTACTGTCAAAGTTATGAAATGTCATAAAATGTCGCTAAGTCTAGTTTTTGTTTTGTCTGACACACAGCAACTATTTTAAATGTCGCTCTTCTACTTTGATCTGTTTTCATCTTAAAACAATCAGTATTGAAGAAGTCCGTCATTTTTATCAGTAAAAGATTAATTCTAATAGAAAACTCGCTTAGTTTTATTGTACTGTATGAATTTTCGATATGTTCACAACCTTTTTGTTAGATATCAATATTAAATCGTTCTTGTAGAATACGCTATTCTTGTGTAACAGTGATGTCTTTTTTGTGCCTCAGTTATTTGTTTCTATTATCTATAACATTGATATGTAATATTTGTAGTAGAAAATATTTTCCTATGATTAGCATTTTTTTGTCTGCAGTTACACGATCTTTTTCTTTATGAATAAATACTATGCTTTTTTGATGCCTTGTGATAAGTAATAAATAGGCTTTATCTATGTGTAGCACACTGCTAAATAAATGTAATAAATGTGAATAATATTTATATGTTAAAGTTATAAGTAATGATTTAATTAAAGGATTATACATTTACGGAAAATGAACGAAATTATTAAACTCATAAAGGTTCATGTTTAATATTTGTAAATGTTTTAGTTTGATGTTACATAACGAGTTTAAAGATATACTATGCCCAAATTTGATATTTGAAAATATTGAAGGTTGCTACATAAGCCTTTTGTAAATAATAAATAAACATGTTTTGACTTCACACAAAGTAGATATGGTATGCTTTAATTAAATCCTACACACTGTGTAACGTTTAATGAATATTTAGTGTCATTATAATAAAGTGGCATTTTTTTTAAAAGAAAGGACAAGTTTTACTTGACCCGTAATAAGGAACGCAAATTCCCATACATTGTCTGTACGTTCTTTTATTGAAACAAGACATATTCAGTAAGAATTTATAGATGTCGATGAATTTCCTCACTAAAAATAGTTTACTCAAAGATGAGCATGGTATATCTATAAGCGTCCAGAAATTATTACAAGTAATAATGTAGGGCAGTTATAGATAAATGTTAATTTGTAACACATGTCACTTTAGGAAAGAATTTACTTACTTAATTATAGAGGCCATTCAGGCTAATGCTAATTTTGATGAGAAATGCCTTCCATTATAGAAAATTGAATTCGTTTGTTGTTTATTTAGAAAAGTCAAAAGGTTAAATGTCTGAAATTATATGGCAGTAGTTTTTCATAACAGGATTGAGGTATGTGCCTTGTTCAATAGCTATGTGCAAATTATATAAAACAAATAATATTCATCATTGAGTAAAATTTGCTTTTTCAGTAAGATACACAGAAGTAAGTCTGCAAAGTGTACATTATATATCTCGAAAAGTAAAGTGATAATAATAGAAAAACAAAGACAAGAAAACAAAATCCAAAACAAAAACAAAAAATAATACGCTTACTCCACTCAAAACAGTCAATATAGTACGTAACACTTGTAAGTCAATTTTGCTTAATTGAAAGACCTAAACATAGTGCTGTCGTATAACGACCTGGAGATTATGTACTGAAGGCGTTGATTGCAGACGCCACACTGTGCTTATCACCCACTTGCCGTTATAAGTGTTTAAATTCTGATAAAATCAATCCCCCGAGAGTAATTACAACACTATTAACGATTGTGTCGTATGCAAGTTACTCCCTTGCAATGTTTGGACCAAACCTGTGTAGGGGCAGAGCGGCCCGAATGTTCTTGCAATCTGACTAGGTCCTATACAGTTGATAATGAATTGTTGAATAATAATGTCAGTTTGACAACCATAAGGAATTCCAAAGGGCAATGGTTGAGATTTTGAGAATAAAGGCGAGCATTCCAGTGTTTAAATACCATCAAAATATTTGCTTTACATTAATTGAACTAATATTGGGAGAAACGTAGAAAACATACATACTAATCTATGTTATTATTCAAATATCATTTAATGATGAATGATCTGCATCTGTGTGTGCAAGGACAATGTAACAATATCATTACTCAAATCTGATTATATAAATATTAGAAATCAACGATTTACATTATGATAACATAGTTTGAAATTATTTTCATTAAGTATCATTGTAAAATGTTTATATAAGATACTGTAAACGAATTATCAAATTATTGTCATAAGCAATAAATCGCACAATCCGTAAAATTTATCTTTTATGTACTTAATTACGTAAATAAAAAGATTACAAATAAAGAATTGTATAAACTAAAATAAAAACGTAGATAATAAGTATAGGTTTGTGCAATAGTAACTTTAAATTTTGGATTCTGTTTTCAGTTCACTTACTTTATTTTTACCGCAAAATTTTCTGTTCATTAATTTAGGTACATTGTATAATAATGTTCGATTCTTGAATATCTTCATAAGGATATTTCGATTTTTATTTTTAATATGTGACAAAAGCTTTTTAATGATCATTTTTTGTCCTCTTAACAGACGTTCTTTAGCAAGTGAAAAAGTAAAATATCATAACTATACAGTAAAAATAGGATATCCCATAATCTTGAAATATACACAGATTTTATTCTCGCTAAACTCTTTTGATATCATTTTAACACTGAAGATGATTTCACTAGGTAAAACAAACCCAACTTTTGAAGTGCTTTCAATTCCTCGGTGGATCATTGAGTTAATCCACACGAATTACCTATATACTACTTATGGTTGCAATACTGCGTTCACTAATAGTGACATCTAGCTGATATCAAGTGGTTTAATTTATTTTCCATGTTTTCCATTAGCAAATAATGCGTCCTATTTTTGAAATGAGAGTAAAAAGAAATGAGATTTGCAATTTTCAATCTGCCGTTCTTCAACTAGGCCTAGGATTGAACCTACTTTACAAATTAAAGGATTAAAGAAGTATATTGTAAGCAAAACATTCGGATATGTTTAGATTTTAAGGATTAAATCATCATATGACAGACATGCATGTATTTGTATATAATGTGTGAAAAGTGTACTCTTACTTAAATTTTTATATGTTGTTTGTGTTATACAATTATAAACAAGCACATCATATTTTGCAGGCTTATATCTGTCATAATTTTTGTTTACAGATTTACTTAAACACCAAGTATTGTTGATATAGTGTTATGGTTTTATTTCCACATTCATAGTCTGTTGAGATATTGAAAAAGGAACGCCTCGTCACATAAACAAACAAATAAAGATTAACTGTAGTTTTAAAAATCCAGTTTTATAAGTATATTTATTATGAATTTTTCCAAAGCTTAAATAATCTTTTTAATGCGCAGTTAAACAAAAAAGTCTTTGATACATTTGTCTTTTAATCATTACGAACAGAATATCAATATTACTAAACAAAATTTTACTGACAACAAATATTTTTTTTGTAATACCTAAAATCTGAATCTATGTGTATCTAATTTATCTGTTTAAAATATTTCATGCACAAATATTCATAACCCGGATCTGACTTTTGCCATGTCATCATTCAACTCTAAACAAATAGTCTATCCTAGCTCATTATCCATACAGGTAATTTACGTGTATAAAAGTTTTTCAAAATATGCACCGATAACACACTCTTATTATGTACATTAGTAAGTGCTTTCTGTCAAGATTTGTTGAATAATCCGACTCATTATTGTCGAGTTGCTACAGGGAAACAGCAGGTGTGTTTGTGATAACCTGACTTGAATACCAAAACGTTTCTCTGATCGTCACCATGAACAGAACTGATATTTTATTTAGATTTGTACAATGTACTTTCTCTATAATACAATAATAATTACAAACATAACATCAATATAATGATAATAACAATGATGATACTTTTTTTTTCACAATTCATAATCTAATTGTATCTAGTAACAAGAAAATTAATTAATAAATGTATACAATACGAAATGAAAAGTACAGACATACAAAAAGGAGAATGAGCAATTATGATGTTTAACGCTCAACATTTAACATTTTGTTTCTTAAAGCAAATAGCTTCTTTAACAAATTTGGTATGGACTTCTTGGTATGGTTGCTCTAATATTAAGAGAGATAAAAATATTATCATCAAACAAATATGTCCAAAAATAATCAGTTTTGAAGTCACGAAAAGATTTGTTATCAAAATAATTCTAAAATGATAAAAAAAAGAGCAGAAACAAAAGTTATGTTTAGAGCTTAAAGGCGTGGTTGCTGTTTTTTCTTTGTTGCTTGATGTTTTATTGCCATCTATCATGGCGCTTTAAAGTAAGATTTCTAAATGCAGCAAATATTACAGATATATATGATCATGTTAAGATTCTTGTTATGTATAAATGTCTGGAAAAAAGTGATTCCTCGGAAGCATTAAAGCAGCAAAATTACTTAAAATTAAAAAGAAATAAGTAATAATTTAAATAATAGTAACGTAAATTGGTATTTAATGTATTTTTTTTTAATTACAACTTTTTTTTCACATTACCTTAATTGATTCTGTTGGTTATTTCTTTGTTTAACAGCAATTCATGTTGATATTGCAACGTGTAAAGTTTGGAAACCAAATAAAAATCCAAAAAATTGGATTAACTAACACCTTATTAACAAATATGACAAATGAAATATTCACTTTTTTTCAGACAACCACTACAGATATGAAGAAGATACTAAAGTCTCTGGTGATATCTATATTCTTGACAGACTGAGCACAGTGAATGAACCGGCAGTAGAAGAGCTTCTCCAAGACATAGTTGAAACACAAAACAAAGTTATTGTAAAACTAGCAGGTATTGTCATTCAATCTTTAGACATATTAACGAATAAGATTGGCTCAGGGAATAAAAAAGTAGAATGTACCCACACTATTATGCCATTTTAAAGATTTTTGTCTTTAAATAAATTGTTAACACGTGCACTTTATTCATGTTATTGAGTTTAAGTTACGGTATGTTAAACATATAACTGGTTATATCTATATACTATTGATATTTCAAAAATAAACTTTATAATCCCGCTGTGTTTATATTGTTGTGGTTATATGTCGGTAGGTTGTAAGGTGACTTTGTTCTTAAAGTTAAGAGAATATTATTAGAATGAATAATAGATTTGTTTTCTATTGAAATATTAAAAAAAATGTTTGATAAGGTAAAGCGATTTTAAGTGCATGCGCATCACATTTTATCCATAATTTGAAAACATCAATGCTTTCGATTCAGGTATTTTTTGTTTGTTTATTTTCTCAAGAGATTACAGACATTTTAACATAGCTACATAACATAGCTTATAATACAAATCATCAATGATTCAAACGAATGTTGTTAAGCAAAGCTTTGATCTCATATTTCAGGACGCGGTATAAGTGTTATAAGAGATCCGACAGAAGTGTCAGATGTCATAAAATACAGGGACAATGGAGACAGACACAATGTAGTAGAAGACATACTCGACAGTGAGAACTTATGACATTTTTTGTTTCCTTGCAGCAGTTTCATAAAAATAAAAACGGGCATACAAATTCTTTAACATTAACATGACGTAAATGGTGTTCAAATATCTACATCGGAAGCGCGGTGTGAATAAAGTTTAAGAATGGTTTAGATTTATATGATCGTATATGTATTTTGCAACTGGAAGCAAACCTGTACATATACATTAGTCATCGGAATGAATCCCGTAATTTTGAATATAAAATTAACAAACAAATACATACTAATATCGTATGTATCTATAGATATTTAACTTTCATCAACATATCAAAATGTTTAGCATTTATATGAGTTGTAGTTTCATTCAAAATACATATAATTTTCAGCGACATTTTCACATATACATGTCTATGATGCCTTTATTATCTTAGAATTTACTGATAAGAAGCATAATAATGAAGACGGAGAGAATCTTATGATTTGTCTTTGGTGTGTTTTCTTATCTGCAATATTTCTCTGAAACCACTAACAAATTATTCAACTGAATAATTTTAACCATTAATTGCATTCGCTCAATTTATTTTATGAAACTAATAGTCACGAATTTAATTAAAGTTCTGCAAGTGGCTGAGAAAAATGTCCATATCAATGTCATAACTGAAGATGAATCTAGTACAGCAGAAGGCACCCAAGACCAGCTTGCTCTCATTAAAGAAAGAGACATCCGTGTTGATGTTATATTCCTACCGGGACACAGCAATTACTATGGTAAATTGTTTGTTTAATGTGGATAAGTTTACAGTCGGCGCTTTTTCCATAAGTATTTCAAAAAAATGATAAAAATAATAGAAATTTATCGTTTGGATTTACTTACAAAATAATTCTTTAAAATATGATGATAGAGTTCTGAGTAATTAAGTATACTTATTTTTAAGATTAATAATATTTGTTGTTTAACAATTTCTTATCTGCTATTTATAGATATATCATACTTATCAACAATATCAATATATAATTAGTTTGTTGTTATGTATAATTCTAAATGGAATCAACATTATCATTTATGATATTAAAGACGTTCCATTATGTACCAATTCACTTTACCTGATAACAAATAAAGCGCGCAAAGAAATCACACGACCACTTTTAAAGATTTGAAGATATTTTCTTTAAGGATGAATAAATGCTTTGTTAAAAACAATGTCAACAACTAAGAAACGCTGTTACTTAGTTAATTTATTTATAAAATGTTCTAACAATAACGTACGTTAATTTTTTATCATATTCTCCTTTAAATAAACACCATACCTCTAGTTAAAAACTGGACGGTTAGAATATTTTATATAACTTTTATTAAGATGATTTAAGCGTATCTTAACAATAATGGTAGTAAGATATAGATAAAAGTATGAAGACCAGTCTCTTTAAATTTTAGATATGCGACACAGACGCCAAATTAATTTCTACCAGCTGTTAGCAAATGTATCTGGCGGTTCTGTGATTCAAACAAACAAAAATAACATCGGGTCAGCCTTGAATCTGTTAAAGGTAAAAATGTATTTATACGTATATATAATTATGTATTATATTGCTTGTTATATGTAAACAAATAGGTTTCAACAATCATGGGGTTATCAATATCGGCATATTATCAGTAATATATTTGAATAAATAGTGAAACGTATAAATTTGTTATTTTCTATTTGTCATTTAACAAAATTATTTGTACATAGTACCAGTATTGCCATACTGCGGAATCCATTAAACGTTATGTTTATCACAGACAATATCTGCTATCGCATTAATATATTTTTATATTATCAATTTGAACAGCAAAGTATAAAGACAACTCTAGTGCACGTGATGAGGTTCTTTGACCATTCGCCACCTGGAAAAGAGTTCCGAATTCCAGTTGATGATACGATGACACAGCTTATCTTCCGGGTTCAGGTTGAAAGATCAAATCCTGTCATCATAGCTGTGACCCCTCTAGGTATATCACATGCACATTCTTTTCGAAGTCAATAATAAATAAATTACTATTATCACATAAACCACGGCGCAGGAGTGTAATAAAGCCATTTAATAAAAACGATATTACACTAGTGTAATAACACTTTGACGTGACGTCATTTGCGCTATATAGAAACATAGCGTTAAAGCGCGCTAATGTTAGCGTTACACTATAAACGCGTCATTGAAAAATTACTCATTTTAACAGTTTACTGTTCATATATTATATATGTGATAAAAAGAATATTATATTCATGTAGATTCAATACTAAATTTATTGAACTCGTTGAATAAAACAATATTATGCTCGCCAGAGGCTCGCATAATATGATTTTATTCAAATCGTTCAATGAATTTAGTATTTAACTACACTCATTCAATATTCTCTATGTATCATAACCTTCACCTTGTCCTTTAACGATCTGCTATAACCTATGATGATCAATTTCCCGTCATGCAAGTTTTCTAGCTAAACATATACATGTATTACTCACATATCAAGATAAAAGAGGTCCGTGTGGGTCTATAAATACGTGTATAGTACACTTATAAATATAAAATAAGTATTTGAATATTTGTACAATGTATTTGTACAATGTATTATGTTTCTGTAAAATATTAAAGTTGTCAATATTTCCAATATTCAGGAATACCGTCTAGCACTCATCCTAAACTTCTTGGTAAAGCCAGTGCTGGGACAGTCGTCGGAATCTTGGAAGTAAATCTTACAAAGGTATAGAATTGATGAAAGGGCCATTATGTCCCAGAAATGCTTTCATTTTTATTTCTAAAAAAATACTCATTTGTTATATAGTTGAACTATTTTTGCTCCTTTACACATTACTGCATATTCAGCAATACTTTCCTCAGCTGTTGAACATCTAACATGCTCTAAATCCATTATTAAAATATTATTAAACACATGTTTGACATTTCTAAAGAATTTGATAAATAAGGATTTTTGAGGCATATTGTGCCTTTAACAAAAGAAATAAATATTCGTTATGAAAACCCAAATAAGTGAATTATTTTATTTGTGTAATTTCACCTTATCTATTTTGATCCTTAACAAAGTTTCATGATGAAAAACAGAATAGGATATTAATAACATAAATGATAACCACTTTTACAGGCTGACCATGGGACATGGAAGATATCTAAACTTGACTCAAACATGTGGGACATCAAGGTAGACGGCGAGAGTCCGATTGATTTCACACACGAGTTCCTTGAACGTGGAGCAGGAGGGTTTGGAGAGTATCCAATTAAAGGGCGACCAATTGTTGGTAAATAGTTTACAATACATTTTATCTGAAGTTGTTATTGTGTTCTTGTTACAGTATTTGCATATACTTTAAAGAGTTTTTTCTTTTGTAACGAAATCAATCTTCCAATATTGTTAAAAAAATTTTGTTTTAGGAAAGACATACAAGTTGTCGATTACAGTTCCAGAGTATGCAAAAGTAAAGAAGGTTGCAATGGGGATGTTATTCAACATGGGGCAATTAATGCCAATAGACATGAAACCATTGACAAATGTTGGAGGACGTAGAGGAAAATCAATGTTTTATGCCAACATTACAGTACCAAAAGATGTTTGTTTCTTTTTTAATATTTGTTTCAGTGCAATAAATATTTGTAAAATATACTTCACAAACGTATAATAAAAATATATATAACATTTATAAATAAAAATATTGAGTATTGTAAATTTGAAAAGGTAGTTTAAATTACCTTTCAAAATGTTATGGAAAGTACATATCATGGATATGATATTTTCCTTCTGCAGTAAAATGTAAAAATGAAATTCTGCTATACAAAAGTGTGAGAATTGTACATGAATGAAAACATAATAATTAGTTCTTGTAATGGCATTAATTATTGTCTGCTGATCATATAATCATAGCCTCTGGTTCATTAGTGTAATTCTACGCAAATGAGCCCCAATCTTCTTTCCACGAGTATCAGGGTTGCACGTATCACTTGTAAAATTAGTAATTTATAATTTTTATGTCGTATATAAATGTAAAAGGTTTTTCATTTCATTATTCCCCCCCCCCTTTTCGAAGAAAAAAGGGGGATATAGAAACAGGCTCCGTCCGTCTGTCCGTCTGCCCGTCTGTCACACTTTCGTGCCCGGTCCATAACTTTGTCATTTATTAAAGGAATCTGAAATAACTTGGCACAAATGTTTGTTATAATAAGACGATGTGTCATGCGCAACAACCAGATCCCTACTTCCAGGGTCAAGGTGGCATTTGCTCATTCAAGGTCAACATTGTCTATTTGAGGGTATATGTCGTGTCCGGTCCATAACTTTTTTTTATCTTTGAAGGGATTTTGTAAATACTTGCCACAATTGTTCTCAACATCGAGACGATGTGTCATGCGCAACAATCGGTCACCTACCTCCAAGACCAAGGTCACACTTGGAGGTCAAAGATTAACATAGTCTGTTAAAGGGTATTTTTTGTGTCCGGTCCATAACTTTTTCATATATCAAAGGAGTTTGAAAATACTTGGCACAAATAGTCACTATAATAAGACGATGTGTCATGCGCAACACCTGCATCCCTACCTCCGAAAGCCAAGGTCACATTTCAAGGTCAAAAATTAACATAGTCTGTTAAAGGGTATATTTTGTGTCCAGTCCATAACTTTTTCATAGATCAAGGGATTTTAAAAATACTTTGCACAAATAATCACAATAATTAGACGATATGTCAGGCGCAAAACATGGGTTCCTACCTCCAAGGTCACACTAAGAGGTAAAAGATTAACATAGTCTGTTAGAGGGTATATTTTGTGTCCCATCTATAACTTCTTCATTGTTCAAGGGATTTTGAAAATACTTGGTACAAATAGTAACAATAATAAGACGATATGTCATGCACAACACCTGCACCCTTACTTCCGAGGTCAAGGTCACACTTTGAGGTCAAAGCTTAACATTATAGATTTTTAAATTCAGTGTTTCATTTTATTTCTTTAATAAATATATTGTTGCATTTGTATCAAGCATTGATCATAATTTTGAACTGAAAGTCCTTAGATCCATACCTCAATCTTTTGAAATAGCACAATTTTATGCTTCATATAAAACTTCCCCGAGGCGGGGGATGTTGGTAACTCTGTTACAAATTCTTGTTTTCATTAGAAGACGTAATTTTGTATATTGATAATTAACTGCAAGAACTATATTTTGTAGGAATAACAAAGTTTTGTACTACAGCGTTAGCGTACTCTAAGAAAGAAAACCACTTTCTTATAACGCGTTTAAATATTTTTTTCCCATTCGAGTATGATATGCTTTGATTCTTCATGCACATTTCAACTTTATTATTTGCTATTGGTAACGCTGCATAAATAAACTCACATGTGGATTGCTTTTAAATGCGAAATTATTTTCTTATCTTTCAGAATTTTATGGTTGGTATTGAAGGTCGAGATATATCGGGACACATGTTTCGCAGAATTGATCCAATTCTTATAACCCCCATCAGCTTGAAACTGGAAATTCCCTCATTGATTGGTGATTATGATTAGTTTATACAAAATTTACTTCTGGTCAGTTGAGTTGACACACACACTTCCAAATCAGGGCCTGAAACCAATCAGTACTAAGCAATGATAAGTGTAATGTTTCTTGCTCAAGGAAACGAAAGTTTGCATGGTTTGAGCCCACGCGGCTAGTGATCTATACGCATGACCAACTCAGCCATGTCATCACATGTTAAACTGTTAAATTATTTATATTGTTGTGTGTCTATTATCAATAACAATTTAACTTTTAGTGAAGGAAAGTGTGATATACACTCGTTTATTCGTAAATTAAGAAAACTTTGTTGGAGAAAAAACTATTTTAATATATATACAATGTCATATATATTCATTCATATTGACTTGTTTGATATAATTATTTAACAACCTAAAAACATTAAAAAGCTTTTGCACTTAAATCAGCAAAACTGTGTTGTATATAATCTTAATTTATTTCAAATTATTATTCTGTCATATGTATTCTTCTTGTAGGAGTGAAATTCTACCAAAATGAAACACTCTCTATACCATTCACCGTGATTAATGAAGGTGCAAAAGAACAAGATGTTGATGTGAAAATTGAGGACGATAAGAAATTTGCTTTACCTCCTTCCATTCTCTCGGCAACAATTAAACCAGGAGAAAACTTTACTGGACGGTTCATTATCAGGGCAGGTCTTACAGTGGGGGAAACAACGTAAGTTTGTGAAAAGTTAAATACTGTTTATACATGTACAAAAAATAGTAATTCGATATGCTTAGCATAATTAAATCAATAAGCAATTTACAAAGCAAAAAACGTAAGATAAATTTTATTATCTTATGAATATGATATTGCGATTTCTGTTTCAATGAATGTTACTTTACGAATTGTTTCATGCAAAAGTAAATACCCGGCATCTGATATAAATATATTACTTACAAGTTTTTAATTGTGCACGGTAAACTAATTTTTATCGCCTGTAGAAGATGATTTACCAGAACAAATGCGTGATATCAATAGTTAAATTGTGTTTGGTTTATTTTATTTTATGTTTTTGTTTCGTGTTTGATTGTTTCTTATTTTGTTTGTTTGTGGTTGTTTGTTGTTGATAAAATGAAATTTTCTTTGTCTCTAAATATTTGATGGTACTAGCCTGTTTGAATATTCGTCTATCTTTAAATTTGCATGTAGTGGTACACTTGAGTAAGTAATAAGTAATAATGATTTGATATGAACTGTTAATTGTTATTCAATCTATGATAGAATAAAATGACATTTGTATCTTATTTCAAAGAAACTTCTTTAAGAGAAACTCTTGTTGAAATTTGATACAATTGTTTTTCTAATATCAACATGTTTACAGGACTGTTACAGTAACAGCTAAACCTTATCTCGGACCACGGACATTCTCTCCAGGACAGTTCGAAATCAGGCGATTTAACGTCTTGGATAAAAATCTTACAGTAAGAAAATAATTTTAAACAATAAATAAAACAATGATAAAATTTTAATACACATTGGCTTTCTTTATTCAATGCTCTTAACAAGTATACAAAAATCTGTTGAAATGCTGTCGATTGTTTCTTTAAAATTCTATAGAATATTCTACAATCTCTAGCATAGGAAATGATGCCACTTTTTCATTAATGATCTGCACAAATATTATATAATTTACAGGGTTCTTTAACTTATACAATTATACAAAATGCCTTGAATCATTTACAGACAACAACATTATCCACACCAACAACGTCAACTTCTACTACTGCATCAACATCGACACTGTCCACCCAAACAACTTCTACCACAAAGTCTACTGCAACTATTACTAGTTCAACGAAAGCAACTTCTCCTTCTGTCAAGTCCACGTCACTTGGAGCTTCAAAAGTGACTCAAGCATCTACAAGTACTGCTGCAAAAATACACGTGACAGGAGGCAAAACGAGCATTTCACCATCTGTATCATCAATAACAACAAAAACTGCCTCTAGTTCCGTTTCTTCTGGTTCAAGTAATGCGGTTAGCTCTCAATCACCAATCAGTAACACTGCGTCCATATCGACAACGTCCAATGCACCAGCTGGCAAAGGTTCAACACAATCAAAATCAATCGTAGCAAAAACTACAGCACAGTCGAAGTCTGAAAAGGAAACTGACAACACTGATCTTCCAACTACAGCAATAGTTATAGGTGTGTCAACCGGTGCTTTTGTTGGTTAGTATATTGTTTTCTTGTTTTGTCTGTTTTAAATTATCCAGAGGATATATTTAACTTTACATATGATACTCTTAATTATGTAATTACGGTGAGAACAAAATAATATGTTTTTAGGTTTCATGTTGTTAAATATTGAAGAACATGTATAATTAACCAGATGTTTAAATAAGGGACATAACTATTGCAGGACTGTGTTAAATATTTTGTACAATAATTTGCATTGTCAGACAGGTAACAAAAATGATATGAAAACAGATTTTACAACGCTTTATGGTGTGTCATCTTTGTGTAAATAGTGAGGAAAAACTTTGAAAATATTGCTGTTTAATCATAATGAAAATATTTTATATGAATACAGAACTAATTGTTTTATGCTTTTTATAGAATAACATAATTGACTTGTAACTGGTAAAACACTTTATTTAAATTTATAAATGATTGTGTTATACTATTTTAGGAGTTGCAGCAATTGGTGCAATGGCGCTTGTATTTAGGAGGGCTTTAAAGAAATCAATGGAGTCTTCGGTACAGCCAAGCAGACAAGATCCGTATGACAGAAGAAGGCAAAGCAGTATTGCATGGACGTAAATTATTTTAGTTATGAAAGTTTAAAATTGAAAACTTCTCAATAAGACTGTGATAAAATACATTAGACATTTATTCATTGTCGACGTCTGTACCGTTTACAGTATATTTTGTGTTGGATTTTGTTTGACTTTATACGTACACGAATTGTAGACACATCCTCACTTCTACATTACAATGCATAATGTCACCTAGATTTATGTGCATCGGCTTATATTTCTTTCTGTATTAGGTTATCAGTCCTTATCAAGTTGCATTTAACTTCCTTCATTTTGAAAATAAAGATAACGTTGTGATTAAATACTTTATATCTGTTTAATATTCTTATATTCTCTATGGCATAATTTTATTTATTGTAAATAGTTTTATTTTTTATAAAATAACTTTTACATCTGTTACTGTTCATCATTGTTTAGAAAATAAAATATCTTGATTCTTCCACATAAATCATTGGCGCCTTGTTATCTCTTTGAACGGTTGTTGCCATAAATACTTTAATTTTCAAAGGCATTTTCTGTCCAAACAAATTTGTGTTGTATAATGTTTGAAATATAGTTTTAGAGCATGCTCGAAGACAGTCGACTGAAGTGTGAAATATTTTATCATAAAAATAGTAATGTGAACTATAAACAATATCTTGACTTCTATAAAAAATACCAATCCTTGTAACTTTACTTATTGCCGAAGAGACAATGAAGCAAAAGCTAGGTCATCTATATATCCAACGAATCTTTTTTTAAGAATGTTATATGCACAAAAATCAAAAGAAATTGAAAAATATGAAAGGCGCCATTTAAATATCTTGATGTGTCGAATGAATATAAATGAAATTTAAAAATTTAAAAATTGTTAAAAAGAAATTGAGTTTGATTAGTTTTGAAAATATAGACAACACAATTAACTTTTTTCCTAATTTCTTATTTTCATGGATTTGTAAAAGCTTTTTAATATATTAAACATAATCCAAGACATAAGGCTGGTTAGCGAAAGGCAGAAATCGTTTGGAAGGTCTGAAAACAACTTGATGTAAATGTTTTTAATCAATATTACAATTAGCAAAAATATAATTTTCTTAAATTCTGATAAAATGATAAAAGAAAACTGCTTTAGAGTAAAAAATACAGGAAGGCAAAACTAATCATGTTCAAGCATGAGATTTTTTTTGGTTAAAGTTTAGGAACATTTTAGATATGAGCCTTCATGAAATAGATGGAGAGAAGTGAATTATTATAACAGATATCTTTCGTTATTCCTATACCGGTATTACTTCTAATTTTGCATACATTATATTTCGAAACATTACAAAAAGTATCAAAGTGAGACTCTGATCATTTGTCCTCACTGTTAAATACACTTCAAAAGAATGACTTTTATTACAGTCAATGATCAATAATTGATAATGGAAAATGTTTATAATAAAAAATATAAAAAGTACCTAGAATATAAATGGACTGCTGCATATTTGTTGTCAATATAACTTTTCAATTAAACTTCACAATCGGCCTAAAGGATATGTATAGATTTTATTTTGTGTTCCGTGGGTTATTGGTTATATTTGTGAAGCAAAACTTTAAATTTAAAACACTTAGGGAGAATGTTATGTTGTTTTGCTTTTAACTAGTAAATTAACCACTTTCAAGTGTACTAAGATAAGCATTATGTTTCTTTAATAAGAATAATAAATTAATGAACAGCATCATTCTTCTACACAACTTTATTTTCTAACTTATATTTTTTGAAACGGTAACATCACAAATATATGGTGATGATAATGAACATTTAATTGTTACTTCAAACATATTCTTTTTGATGGCATACACAAGGCCATAAACAGCAGGTTTTGCTTCTGTTAGAAAATGAGACTGTATGTAACCCTGTACCATTGTCAGCAGCTCTGCTGATAAAGTTCCGGCACAGTTATTTCTAAAACTCTTCAATTCAACCATTATTTGATTGGGATCCTCGGTTGTGAAGTGTGCCTGAACAAAGTCCATATGGGTGTCTTCTCGTTCTACTTTAATTGTGATGTGGGTATCTGCACACGAAGGTGTACGGTAAATGTATCTTAAGTCGTTGACATTAGCTACGGGTTTGGTGTCTTTTACGGTGAATGATATTGATGTATGGATAGCTTGCTGTGTGTTCATGTTTGCTTTAAAGATAATAATATTTGAATTAATACACAGTTCTTGAAATACTATTAAGTTTATTTATATCACAATTTGCTACGGAAGTTATGTTACGAAAGAATATATTGTGCGTCACATCTCACACGTATGTTGTAGACATTTTTATTTGCAGAGTTTAATAATATTGATGTATTAAACTACTTAAATTTCATCTTATCACAAGACATGAGTGAATTCAAACATAACAATGTCATCTTTTCAGGTATGTAAGCTTTAGAACTGTTTATGAAACTCAGACTTACGATTTCCCTTTAGTTCCATTTCAATAGGATAGTGATCACTGACCCGTAAACCCTGAAATAATTGGAAACTAGCAGAGTTCATACATCATCTAAAACATATTCTTTACTACTGATTACTTACATATCAGACAGTCCCATCAATAGCATACTAGCTGTTTTATTTCTAGTAATTCCATAAAATTTATGTGTATACACATTATTACATTTAAATATGAATTTTAAAATTCAAATGCTATCGGTTTCAATTATTTTTAGATTTAACTGACAATTATATAACAAAAAGTTTATTACACACAATACACAAACATAAAGCCTACCATTGCTTTGTCTAGTCCCATTATTTCATCAAATCGGTATGCCTGTACGCTGTTAGGAACAACTGCATCTAAGAGTTTACCCCCGGCAACAACGAATCTTAAAGCAATGATGAATAAGATGTACGTTTAATGTCATTACAAGTTATTCAAACTTAATGTGCGAGCTTTTGTATTTGTTTACATTTTCAAGTAATATCAGGTACGGTCAAAAGGCGAAGCGGAATTCCTCCATGACAATTAATCTCAGACATTGAGTCTTATGGTTATTTGTCTGTCAACGTTTATTTGGAAATGATGTGGGATTAGCAGTCTATCTGGTAATTACTTTTAAGTCGGTTACGTGGATTGACTGCCGATATATGACAAAAATATATTAAATTCTGCGTATAATTCATATAAAAACATTAGAGAGTGAAACATTAAATATTATTAATAGAGTAACTTTAAATCATCATTTAAGAATGGTTTAACGTTTTATCCTTATTTTCCAAAATACAAAACAAGAATACAGGGTTAAACACTATCATTAGCTATTTTTACCCTGTGTGTAACCTATTTAATGTCTAATATCTAACTTCTTCAAAACAGCTACAATTAAATTATCATGAAATATTACCGAAGATGCTGACTAAATGGGTTTGTATTGCATTTGTGTACTATATGTACTAGCATGAACGAGAAAATGCATAATAATCAACAAAAGTAAAATGTCTATACCTGTCGTAACTACAGGCTGATGTAGATACGGTTGTATCTGTATCGTCATCGATTAACCATTCAAATCTCCCGTCAGTTCTAAGCGATATATTCTTCCATGCGCTTAAGCTCAGATAATTACAGTCAGCATTGAAATCCCCAGCAAGTAAAACATCCTGAAATAGAATACCATAGTAGTAATGTATAACTTATATGTTTGTAATACCTGGATACGTGTTACATAACCGGTTACATTTGTATTTAAAAGCAGACTGCCAGGAATGAATCACTTACTATTTCTTTATAGGTGAGTAATTCTATTTGGAACCAGCCTTTCATAGGGGAGCATTAAATATGTCACGTCACATCTTTTAATTATTTTGTTTTGAACAAACTCAATTAAACGCAGCAAATACTGCCTTTTATTGTTGTTTTCAGATCTCCTTAATTTATGATTACATCTTTTCGTTAGCAGAAACGTAAATTGTCTAAATTCTAAATTTCACCATTTTCATGTTGATTTTTTCTTAAGCCGTTGCTAGTAGGCGTTAACATTAACTTGAATTTTCCAGTACCGTCCATGAACCGACTCGATGAAACCGAGCCTGCAACATTTTTAATTTCCCTTTTTTCTCTTTATCAAAAAATTGTTTATTTTCTATTGGAAACTTGTTAGTTTACATCAACATTTGAACAATACACCATGAAGACACATTCTTATGTATGAGGGAAAGAGTTAGCCAAGTGACTTTTAATAGTTGAAAGAAAAAAAAACAAGCTACTTATTTGTCACTGTATATTTATTACATACCTTAACATGCCAGTGTCTTTTCAATGTTTCATAAACTTTAGTTAGGTTGTCCATTTCTTCTGCGGCGTGCTTCGGTTGTATATGATTTGCAACCATAACAAAATCTTGAACAGCTAAGAAACAATTATCTGAACTAAAAATCAGTTCAATTCATCATATGATGTCACGAAAGAAAAAGTTATACCCCATTTTAGACGTATCTGTTTTTTTACATATCTGAAAGCATGTAATTTACATATGCTTAAGCAAAGTGTGAATTATTGTGAAACAAACACAATGAATTATGAAAATAACTGAACGTGTTATAATTAGTTTTTAATTATACCATGTAATTGACTGTCGGTCACTTGCAGAGAAATTAAAAATGAAAACATAAAATGCTCCCATACTTGTTTTTGGGGACGAAAACTTTACACAGAAAGGTTCTCTTTCAAAATAGTCGTGGGTATCACGAATCTGGTATGTATCTGCAACCGAAACCTTAGAACTTCTGGAAAAAATGTAGTAATGATTATGTTTGTATGATATACAGGTACTATGGCGTGATTTACTTAGTGAATTTTGAACGCTTAATTGTTCTCCGACATGCGAGGGATAAACAAAAATAAAATCTGGCTTGTGGTTTAAAGATATACATCTTTAAACATAGTTTACTATTTATTGAAATATATCGGAACATTATTAAGATAAGGTAGAAACATAATTATTTCTAGCAATAGAATGCTTTCACGCCGAGCGATTCTGTTACCATAGTAACACGTATACACTAGTCTAAAATAAGTATGGTTATATATAAAACGACGCCATTTTTCGTATATAAATGTTCACTCATATAAAACGATACAACTCCCATTGCCGTAGACTGTTTTATTTTTGATATGCTTATCATGGTTCATTTTTTACCATGTTGCATAATTGAATGCAATTATACTTGTATAACTTACTTATACAGGAATCCGTACTGTTCTTTACTGCTAGTACGCCCCAGACGGTCACTTACAACCTTCTGATAAACCTCTCCACCTTTACCTTTGCTACAATGAAATGCTTATGTATTCATTTGAAACTACAAAGAACATTGTTTTGAATTGTAATGTGTATGAAGCTATATTTTATGAATAAAGAATGTATAAAAAATTTAAACAGTAAAATGTTTCCGATACCCGAAAAAAGTTGTAACATAATGTCTGTGTTATTAAACACATATACATAAAGTATAATAACAAAGTTAAATGTTCCGAAACAAAATATTATGCTGCTATCTTATAATTAGGATTTTAACTGTTTAGCAATAAATAATATGGGTCATTCCCTCTTTGAGTGGTCTTTATCAAAAATCATATAACAATTTTTGCAGCAGATATACAGCTTTAAACACTTTAAAGTAAAGCAATCAAACTGTCTACCGTCCCCAATTTACTGTTTAGTTAGAAATAAGAAAGAATTTTTATTATTCCAAATTTCAATTCAGTTTTTTTGTGGTGTGTAAAACTGTGTTTCGTCAGTCATTTTTTAACATGGGTGATATTTGAAACTAAAATTAAAATCTTTACACCACTTTTGAATGCTATTTCAAGAGTCAAGAGAAACAATATATATGATATGTTTTTTCAACGGCAGATAATCACTGTGTCTTTAACATATAGTTATTATTAGAAATTAACACAACTTTGTAATCAAAAGTTTAAGAAGATAAGGTTAATATATAATAATTATTATCTTGCAGTTATAAAAAGTTAAAAACTCACGATACGTAGTTGTTTAGAGCAACACGTAGCTTCTCGAAAACGGTATTAGTAGAATCTCTGATTTCCAAAATCTGGACTATGTCGTAGCGACTGAGTATCTGAAACAAACAGGATATACGTCATCACAATGACACTTTACAATGTCCTTTAATATGTTTCTATTGTGCAAAATATGATATGAAAATATGACCTATTAACTATTTTGAGAAAATATTTAATTTAATTTGTCACTGGACATAGATAACCTGACATGCTTACTTGCTTAATCTTATGTCACAATTAGTACTTTTTCACCTTTGAAAAACTTATAAATTTAATTAAAACTTGGTAAGTTGGTAACCATAACTTGGTGTTTCCATACCATAGGTTGTGTCTTGTGTTCTCATATAAACTTTGCTACAAAACTAAAAAGAAATCACCAGAACGTAAAAATTGCATTTTAATTGAAACAGATGTTATTAAAGACATATAATGGTAAAAACAAATGCACATATTATTTACAAAAACAGGAATAAAAGAAAGAAAAGAAATACAAAAAAATGTGTTTACCTTGACTAGAATATTCACAATATCTGAATGTGCCATCTTTGTCGTTCCGAACACTTGAATGTTGAAGGAGCCGATCCTCAGTGGAGGCTCAGCTAAAGTTGGCAAGATACTACTTCCATCAGTTTGATCATCGAATATAAAACATTCATTGGATATAAAGAACAAACAGAACACGAAAACACCGAGCTTTGTCATTTTACAGCTGCTTTGTTCAAATATAGTACTTTTCCATATGAATTGAAGCGACACTAATAAAATTTAGGACGTTATCAGTACATGGTTAAGTTCTATGGTTTGGACTGTTTCAAATTTGTAAACAGTCCATTTATCAGTACACGTGGCTTAAAATAGGTTAATAGTACATAACTAATGTATCAATAAGTCATGCACTGAATTCGTTAAAAGCTCCAATTACTGAAATATACTTCTCTTAAATCTTAATTTCATTAAAATGTCAGATATGAAGCATTTTACTTCCAGGAAGACATTATAAGTCTTAAAAAATGATAGTTATCCAACCGCATGATTGGGAAATTTACATTGTTTCTTACTGTGCATTTAATTTATGTACGAGGGCTCTCCCACAAAGTAGTAGACTAAGGCGCTGTAAAACAAATATATAACGTTCAAGCCTTATAGCATTACCAAAAGCAATATCGATTTAAGATGGTGTCATGACAACCTTTCATTCTCATGATATATCTATCATTCATGATCTAAAAGTAATGATATTGTTCTTTGCATTACATTACTTCGTGATAAATATGCTCGTATATTGGTTGTCTATAAATAATTTCTTAATAATTAATCATTATAGATTTCGTCTATCTTGAAAGGATACAGCTAGATGAGGTATCTTACCACTTTTCTTAAGTAGCTAAATGAAACTTTTAAAGTTATTTTAGGAATCAACTTTAGACAGGTACTGTAACCGACTTATGATGATTCTATTTCGTGTACACTTTCTATTATTCTTATCATTAAGCAACGTCACACTGTCACAGTTAACGTACACATTTAGTATCTGATAACTATTTATGCGTAGATCTTAAAATTGACACACCTTTCGAGCATGTCATGTTATTTTCGCCAACCAATATTGTGCGTAGGTGAAACAATATAAATCATATTCATTTTATCTTGTGCTAAAGCAAAATCAAGTTAAAATATGATGTTAAAAGTTAACGGAAATTGTTGTATTTTATACTGTTTGACATATCCAAAATAGCGAGGTTAACATATAGCAAGGGAGTTCATTATAATCGTACACTGTGTCATATAAGACTTTGTTATTCTTTTTAGTTTGTTAATTTGCTTTTCTCAAATTTATCATTTTTATCCGCTTTAGGTCACTAAAAAGGATATCATGATTTAAAAAACCTCATTTTGAATGAAAGAATTAGATAAATAAAACTTTCCATCTATAATTCTGCAATTAATAACACAATTATATTGTACGTAGAAACTGGAAACTACAGATGTGGTTGAACATTTAATAGATCCCTATAGTATTAATGGAACACGTACGTAGCGAAACACTAAATAAAAGTCAACATACATTGTCTTCTTATTTGCTATGCTTTATTTACATACATACATACATACATACATACATACATACATACATACATACATACATAGAAACATACATACATACATACATACATTTTCAAAACACCAGTTAGTTTCTTTTAAGGTATGAAATTCTACTTCATGCTGTGTACCAACAGAACGCTTTTAACTCCATGCTAAACAACGACGCAAAGATAAATAATAGGAAATACAAATCACAAATCTTACGCCAACAATTATAAAGAAAGCAATACTGTAACAAAATTCTTTCGTGCATGTTTTATCACCTTTTTTATGTGATTGATAAGAATTGAAAAATAATTTGATCATCCTTTGATACACCTTTTCTCTAATAAAACATTTTGTATTTCCTTTTCTATTTGTATATAATTAAAAGCTAAATCAAAGCAATAAAATTCTCGATACAAAGAGAAAAACTACAGCATTCATAAATATGGCACATACATCATTTGTGAAAAGCGGTTCGTTTGCATAATTTGAAAATGTCATTATTTGAGGGTAGTGGTCTATGGCCAGTTGAGCTCAAATCGTTCGGAAAATGTCATGTGTTTGCTCTTTGGGTTGGAAACAATCGTTTTACCATTCACATCATTGTTGAATACCAGAGCAGAAAATATGACAAACAGACCATTCTTGTCAGGTGCACTATCTTTGACCTTGGTTTTACCTTCAAATGTAGCATTGACTGTGTTATAAGAAGATGGAGTCGACTTTTGTGTATGTTGGATAGCCGTACTTGATGTCACCAATGGAATGTTTGAAGATACTGTTGTAGGTCCCAATGAAGCTACTGTTGTTGCTGTTAAAGAGGCGCCGAGTGTTGTCTGAAAGAAAGCAGTTGAAACCAATTCTTAACAAGAATGTCGAACGACACATATGCCCCCCCCCCCCTTTCTAGCCCTTGACTCACATTATTGGTAATTTTGTTACAGAAACTTGCCATAAATGGGTACATGGAAGTGTTCAATTATGGAAACAAGAAAAATAATGAAGACTTTGTGATTAATAGTTTTCAAGATAATGAGATATTTAAGGCCCCTGTGACCTAGAACTTTGAACTAGTGACCCAAAATCAATAGGGGTCATCTAAAAGGTATTACCAATCAATACTACAAATATGAACACTTTGTGATAAATACATGTAGTTTTCAAGATAAGAAACCAAACTGACATTCAAGGACCCTTTGAACTTTACCTTTGACCTACACACCCCAAAATCAAAAGGCTCACTTACTTGTGATAAAACTTTGAACTAGTGACCCAAAATCAATAGGGGTCATCTAATAGGTATTACCAATCAATACTACAAATATGAACACTTTGTGATAAATAGTTTTCAAGATAACAAGCAGAAACCAAACTGACATTTAAGGCCCCTGTGACCTTGACCTTTGACCTAGTGACCCCAAAATCAATAGGGGTCATCTTCTAGTTATGAACAATCAATATTTGAAATATTACTTCTTTGTGATGAATTCTTTTCAAGATAATCAGCGGAAACCATTTTGACAATTAAAGCCCCTGTGACCTTGACCTTTGACCTAGTGACCCCAAAAGCAATAGGGGTCATCTATTAGCTATGGCCAATCACTATGTGAAATATGAAGACTTTGTGATGAATACTTTTCAAGATAATCAGCGGAAACCATTTTGACATTAAAGGCCCCTGTGACCTTGACCTTTGACCTAGTGACCCCAAAATCCATAGGGGTCATCTACTAGTTATGATCAAGCACTATGTGAAATATGAAGACTTTGTGATAAATTTTTTTTCAAGATAATCAGTGGAAACCATGTGGTCTACCGACGGACAGACCGACGGACCGACAGACAGACCGACATTAGCAAAACAATATACCCCCTCTCCTTCGAAGGGGGGCATAATTAGAAAGGCACTCATGACGAACAATTGAAGAATACTGGTATCCTAAATACTACCTTATGATATTATCTATAATAAACGATGTAAAAGGGAAGCACTTTTTTGTTCTAAGTCTGGACAAAATTGTGTGTGCACACTTTGATTTTATTTTCGCACTCAGTATTTCCAACAAATTATTGTAAATAAGTAAAATATCCAAATAGTTAAAAGTGTTTAAACTCAAATCTTGGTAATAATCACACATATATACCTTTTTCTATTTAATTTCGATGATATTTCTTTATTAAATTTCGCATATTTTACGTTTTTACGTGCATCTGTTAAATATATGTAAAAATCCACTTTTTATGTTTTATGTTAGACTTAATAACCCAGGTACTCCTTAAAATGAATTTTAGAATGAATTAAAACTTTTAACAATGTTATAACGTGCTTACCGTTAAATTCCTTTCTACTGTGAACTGCCTCATTACTGATGGTCCATCAGATTTTTTGCCAGGAATGTAAGGCTTGGCTGTTATTGTAACATCTCTTTGAGTTCAAAATAAAAAAGTATTTGCAAAATAAGACTTGTTACATTCAATGTATGACGAAGTGTGTTACTTCTTGAACTTTGAATACAATAAACGTTGTTTACTATCAATAAGAATAATATTCTGGTTACTACAACCTCTCATTTTAATTTTTTGATAAACAACAATTGCGATTAATTTTTCTTAAATGTGAAAATAAGTCATAATGGCGAATATCCATAGAACAGAAAACTTGCACATGTGTTATGTTTCATAAGTATTGATATATCTCATGAAGCCTTTTGTTGTCAATTGTATAGTTCTATAATTATTACGTAAGGTTTTTATTTCACACCCTAAAAATATAACTCAGATAAATATTGCTTTCTATTACCAATAAATATAAACATTTTCGATCCAATCTTACCAATACTGTACCGTTTTATTAGGAAAACGTTAAAAACAAACTTATTTGCCTTTAACAACGTTATAAAAATGTCACAATTGTTGTTATAAATTATATAACTTTATTAAAAAGCCCTTTATGCCACCAGGAATGTTTTTATATTTCTTTTCTTTCTACTCCACTGAGGTCCAATAGCCTAAAATAATAAATTTGAAATTCTTTCTTAAATCAACTGGTACACTTAAAATCTGAAACCAATCAGTAGATGATATTTAAATATACACGGTTTTAAATTGATAATCGGTATTTATACGATTTTTGGCCGTTTGAGTGCAAAGCTTTGCAACGGGCCATTTTGCACAGTAAAATTAATTGTTTCTGGGAAACGGAGTGAGCGAACGATCTGGAATTTTGTCTAGTTACACAAAAATCTTGAAAACATATTATCGGTCCCTTCACGTAAAAAACCTCAGTGGAGTCCCTTTAATTTTATTTATTTTGGTGTCCTGTTATAGTCTCTAAAAGTTTATCATCAACCAATTGCCTGAACTACTTTTGCTTCTATTAGTAATTACATATTACAGTACAGATTTTGTGATAAAGTATTTTGTGTGAAAGACAAAATACTTCTTTATATTTTTATTTTTTTAATGACAAATAATTTCACATTCCGCGCTATTTCTTCATGTTATAAGCATCAAACCATTTAAACCATTACTTAAACGTAACTAAAATCATGTTTTCCCTTCTGAAGAATTTTAATTTTAATTGTGTCTTATTTGTTTTTAATTTGTCCAAAGAAAATTATAAAGAGCTTGCCAGGGGCGCTCGTTTGATAAAATTTCTTATTTAATTTGTGTGATATCCTTAATATATTGTTATACAACTGAAATGATACGTACGTCGTGACACCAAACGATCCACCTGTGATAACAAACTTTCCGGTGTAGTTTTGACCAGGTGTTAATCTTTCAGAAATTATTGTTGGTGACTGAGCAAAGCCCTGAGTATCCTGAATTCTTACATCTATGTCTTGTTCTTTAGAAAGTTCGTTGATTACATAAAACACTAACTCCAGCTTTATATTCTCGTACAGTTTCACACTTGCATCTATTAATGTTGTATATAACTTTGCATCATCGAACAAGTATGTGAAGAGAAAACTATTCATTTATTTGATTTTAATATGCCAAGTTTATGGTAATTAGTCACAGCAATCATGTTTCATGTGCTTTTGTTTGTTTTTGGTTTTTTGCTAAACTTTATGCCCTTTTTTACACGTTTTTGTCTCTTGGTCACTTAGAATTCAGAAACATGTCAGATGGATGTATTAAAGGAATGCTCAATGTGACAAATTCGTATGATTCTATGTAATGCGGCGAATGAGAGCCTGTATTTATTAAACAGAAAAGAACGAACCACCATACTTCGTCATGATTAAAGCTATAAATACATTGAGCTGTGACATTCAGCATTGTAAATGTTCAGTATCAAGCATTTGCATTGATATTTCGATAATATTAAAATACATAAAACGAAAAAGTTTATCTTTACTTTGGCAAAAACTTTTATTTTCTTGAATTGATTCTAAGCTTAATGACTGGCTACTTAAAGAAATAAAGCATACCATTAAACGAAGGCACTGAAAGCGATAGAGATATCGGTTTTATGGTTTTGATCCGGCGGAAGAAATGTCCAGAGTTATCCTTTCCATTTATTCCTATCATAAAGTCCTGAAAATCAAAATCTCGGATAAGTTTCTTTCTTACAATAAAAATAGCGGATAAACTGTCAGCTAATATATTGCATAATTCGAGAAAAGGTTAAATGTTTATATTTTTCTCTTTAAATATTCTTACAATTATTTACCTTGTCAAGCATTCGCAGCTTAGCAACCTCGTATTTCCCATTTCCTTTGTCTATCGGAAACATCATATTTGCCGCTGTTAATTTCTCAATTATAAACAACTGTACAACATCAACTGATTTAGCTTTTGTGAAGTCAGCGACAGTTAACACTGTCTTGTAGGTCTCACCTGACATAAAAAAGAATTGTGTGATTCATTTAATTGGAAAGAGTTATACAGTGGAAACAAAACAAAATTGAAAGAAATTTGTATATCGCTTGTAAAATGTTAGTATATTTCTTTCTGTTAAATCTGTATAATTAAAAGCTTCAAATAAAAATAGATGGTTACTTAAAGATATCAAAATCCTACCGAACGGAAGAAATGTAGGTTCAGTTAGAAAAAAGTAAAGCGTTTTAACAGTAGCACTCTTCAACTTTTAACGTATAAACTTTCGCTAAATTCGCTTTATACAAACTGCTGACATGATTTATAAAATGCTGATGATTTGAAGAAGAGAAATATGATTTACCTTGTACTGGATCTCCTGTATGTGGGACTTGTATAAAACTCTCTGATAAAAACTGATATGTAAAATCTAGTGAACTTTCTCCTTGAATTTTTACATTCCACGTGTTTGCATCCAATTTGTTAAGCTTCCATATTCCATAATCTGCCTACATGTTTAATTAAATGTAAATTTGAAAAAGCGCTTACACTTAAACTAAAAAAAACAACACGCTTTCAGAAAACAATAGAATTAATGACTATCTAAAGTTTATAAGCTTTGTTGAAATTGATTACATTATTTAATGAAGAGTAATTTATCCTTAAACATCATCCAATCAAATTCAAACTAATATATGAACAGTTACTTATCCTAAAATACTATCTAATGAAATACAATTAAATATCTATTTTTACTTGGCAAAATCATGTCAATTAGATATTGTAATTTTACAAGTACACCATCAAACGATTGCGGGACTTAAATATATTATAGGCATCGGGATATGTGTCAGTGTTAAATATCGTGTACGTCCATAGTTCATTATCAGGGAAACTTGTACTAGAATCGTTTCAAGATTTTTAATTGAAAAATAACTGCAGTATATGTGACATTGTTTTCCAATAGGCTTACCGATGTTATGGCAACGTCAATTGTCGCAGTTACTGTTCCAGCACTGGCTGTTCCATTTAGTTTCGGATGAGGCCCTGGTAAACCTGTATACAATTATGTAAATCAAATGACAAAATTATAATAAAATGTTAGCCCGAGTTTCAAACAAATATTTGTATTTACATGTATCTAAGCGTGTATTGTACAGTTAGCTTAGCGAGAAAATTACACAAAGACATGTTGCTTTGATTATTATTTTTTTTGACAAATTGGAATCAGCTGACCGTCAAAATGAAACTATCTCTAATGCATTTTGCACAAAATCAGTTTAAACTTGTGCAACAATTAATGCAAAAAGGATTAAGAAGCACATTCGTTGAGTGTTATAATCTTAAATAATTTGCCTCTCTGTGTGTTTCTACGAATCATCTTACCAAACGAGATAATTAAAACGTACCTTAATTATGTGTTATATATATAATATACCAGTATATTAAATGTAGTGCTCTGATTTTCAAAATATGTAAAACAAACTTACACAACTGTAATTTTCTTTTCATGGGAATGAAGGACATGTAATTTATAGTATGTGTATTTACCTGAGGGTTTTGCTAGCATTATTACAGGGCTTGATCTTTCAACTTTAACTTCTATAATAAGTCTCGTTATTGTATCGTCAACATACACAGAATATGCCTTTCCAGGAGCTGAGCTGTCTGTGAACATGCTGATGTCTACAATGTGTGGCATGATTGTCTAAAAGAAATATGCATCGATATTTTATAATGATGTTACTCGTAATAATCGTAACTTTCAATTGGTAAATCTTGTATAGATATCAAACAGACTTTGTCATATCATTAAAATCAATTATTACCTTTGTATAAGGTACAGCAGAAGTGTAAAACATTGATCTAGCCGAGGATGCGTCGTTTATGGATATCGTTGAGGTCTCGAGTTGTGGGGTTGAACTTGTTAAAACATCACTTGTGGTTATTTTTGAAACGTCAGTAACAGGTTTGGATGATGCACTAGTAGTTGAAACTGCTAATATGCTATTTGCGGAGATTAGTCCTCCCTTAGAATTTGGTACAAATGATGAGTTACTAAATGACATTGTGGGTATATCTGTCATTTTCGGTAGATCAGTGGAAGTTGTCTAAAAAATATGAAATTGTAGGAATAATTAGAATACTTTTAACAGATAAATAATCATTTATTAAAGTTTTATTGAAACAAACTAGCATTTTAATGTTTACTACAAACCAATAAGAATAAAATCTAATACTTGATTGATAGCATAACAATTTTTATCAGATAGCTAGTTTTCAAACTAACACATTGTTTACAATAAAGAGATACACATAAGGAATAAAAAAAGTGCCGATATATTAAAATACCTACCGTTAAATGCCTATCTACTGTGAACTGCCTCATAATTGATGGTCCAGAAGTCCTCCGCCCAGGAATATAAGGACCTGCTTTTATTGTCACATTTCTATTAATTCAATTACAAACAATTTAGGTGCAAAAAAGACGAGACATTTTTTTGAAATTTAAATATAATACTTTTGTTAAAGATCAGTAAGAATCATCGTCTTGATATTTATAAAGCTTCTCTTTTTAATTAATTTTTGCATCTTTTCAACGACAAATGTGAAAAATTATTACTGCATCACAAAGACAATCTTCCCAATCGTCACTTAAATAAATGAACTTTTGTGCTAAGGAGGTATGTGTCAAGACTTACTTATGAAAGTCTAAGAACAAAGCTGATCATGTGTTTTACTGCAAAAATATTGATATAGTTTTATGTGCATGTCTTTGTTATAAAATAAGAAACAATACATACGTCGTAGCTCCAAACAATCCACCTGTGATAACAAACTTTCCGGTGTAGTTTTGACCAGGTGTTAATGTTAAAGAAATTATTGTTGGTGTTTCAGCAAAGCCTTGTGTGTCCTGAATTTTTATATCTATATCTTGATCCTTGGAAAGTTTGTTGGTTACATAAAAAACCAACTCCAGCTTTGTATTCTCGTACAGTTTCACACTTGAATCTATAAATGTTGTATTAATTTTAATATGCCAAGTTTAGAAAATCATGTTTGTTGGGTTTTTTAATAACCATTAGACTCAATGTCCGAAATTATTTTTCACCGAGAAATAACAACTCATCAACGAACCCTGAATTACCGGTAGTCACAGAAAGTAACAAGACTTCAAAAACATGTACATGCATTTACAGTAATTAGTTTATTAAATGTTCAATTTAAATGACCAAATGGAAACCTTTAGGAAGCCAAACTGACAAAATGGAACCTTGAGCAGTATAGATATGATGGGGCTGTTCAAGAACGGTTGAATATTATTAATATACATAGCCCCTAGCACCAGTGTAAGCAGAATTCAAGATTTCAACAAAAAAATGTGCACTTAGAATTCAGAAAAATCTACAAATGTATTCAAGGAAGGTTCAATGTGACATATTAGTTTGATTTCATGTTATGCTGCGAATGAAAGACACCATACCATCATGATTAAAGCTATAAATACATTGAACTGCGGTGTATATCATCGTAAATAGTCATCATCTGCATAGATATTTTATAATATAAAAATACATAAAACAAAAAAAAAAATATCTTTACTTTGGCTAAAACGTTTTTTCTTGAATTTGTTCTAAGCTAAATGATTGGCTACTTTAAGAAATAAAGCCTACCATTCAACGAAGGCACTAAGAGCAATAGAGCTATCGGTTTTATGGTTTTGATCCGACGGAAGAAATGCCCAGAGTTATCCTTTCCATTTATTCCTATCATAAAGTCCTGAAAATCAAAATCTCTGATAAGTTTCTTTCTTACAATAAAAATAGCGGATAAACTGTTAGCTTTTATAATGCATTATTCGAGAAAAAAAGTTAAATGTTGATATTTTTCTCTCCAAATATTCTTTCAAGAATTTACCCTGTCAATCATTTTCAGCTTAGCAACTTCGTATGTTCCATTTCCTTTGTCTGTTGGAATCATCAGATTTGCCGGTGTATATTTCTCAATTAAAAACATATATACAACATCAACTGTGTAAGCTTTTGTGAAGTCCGCGACAGTTAACACTGTCTTGTAAGTCTCGCCTGACATAAAAAACAATTGTGTGATTAATTTAAGTTGAATGATTTATACAGTGGAAACAAAACCAAATAAATATATTTCTTTCTGTTAAACCTGTTTTATAAAAAGCTTCAATTAAAAATAGATGTTTACTTAAAGATATCTGACCGAACAAAAGAAATGTAGGTTCAGAAAGAAAAGTAAGCGTTTAAACGGTTGCTTTTTTCGAGCTTTAATGTACTAACTTTCCTTTCGCTAAATTCGCTAAGAACAAACTTCTAACATGGTTTATAAAATGCTGATGATATGAAGACGAGAAATATCATTTACCTTGTACTGGATCTCCTGTAAGTGGTACTTGTATAAAGCTCCCTGTTAAAAACTGATATGTAAAATCCAGTGAACTTTCTCCTTGAATGTTTACATTCCAAAAGTTTGCATCCAATTTGTTAAGCTTCCATATTCCATAATCTGCCTGCATGTTTTATTAAATGTTAAATAAATAAGATTAATATTAAAACTAAAAAACATGCTTTTTAGAAACGTTAGAATTTAATGACAGTCTAAAATTCATAAGCTTTGCTGAAATTCATTACATAATTTTATAAGCAGATATTTTTCCTGAAACACCATCCAATAAAATTCATTCAAACAAATATCTATTTTAACTTGGCAAAATCATGTCAATTAACAAGTAAAATTAGTACAACATCAAATGATTTTGGGACTGAAAAATTTGAATATCTGTGTCAGTGATAAACATTGTGTACGTATATAGGGGCACTTGTACTAGAATCGTTTCAAGAATTTTAATTGGAAAAAAACTAGAGCAAATGTGATTATGCTTTCCTATTGGCTTACCGCTGTTATGGCAACGTCAATTGTCGCGGTCACTGTTCCACCACTGGCTGCACCATTTATTATCGGATGAGGCCCTAGTAAACCTGCATGCAATTTTGTACATCAAATGGCAAAATTTCAAAATTATTTTAAAATGTTAACCCGTGTTTCAATTTACATGCATCTAAGCACGTATCGTGCATTTAGTTTAGCACAAAGACATTATTTTTTGACAAGGTGGTATCAGCTGATCGTCAAAAAGAAACTACCTCTAATGCAGTTTGCACAAAAGCAATTTAATCTTTTGAACATTTAACTTAAAAAGGCTTAAGAAGCAAATTCGATGAGTTTAATAATCTTACATGATTTGCACTTCTTTGTTTGAATTCGATTGATGAAGCTTTTGATAGGCTTTTTATCATCTAATCAAACGACGTAATTAAAAAAAAGCCCTAAGTATTTGTAACTTTATAACTTTAGTATGAAGGACACGTAAGGTATATTGTGTTTATTTACCTGAGGGTTTTAATAGAATTATTACAGGGGTTGATCTTTCAACTTTAACTTCTATAATAAGTCTCGATATTGTGTCGTCAACATATACAGAAAATACATTTCCAGGAGCTGAGCTGTCTGTAAACATGCTGATATCGACAATGTTTGACGCGTTTCTCTGAAAAGTTACGTAAAATATGTACTTTCGTGACTCGACAAAAAGTGTTTTGCTTTATGGTACAATACTATTTATATGTGTGAAAAGGTTTAGAAAAATGTTTAAAATATATATACCGTAAGTTTTTCTATTAGAAAAAACAACAACATTTTAACATTTGTCTTTAATTAAGAAATTACGTTGCCTTTGTTAAACTAATTAAATAAAGGGTGTTTTATTTTAAAATGATGATATTAAATGCCTTTGTGATTTGTCAAACGTATTGCTTTGTCATTTTAAATGTAATAATATTCTACGTAGTCAGTTTCGAAATACCTTGCTTGTTATATTTTGTATGTCACGTCTGTGAATTCCATGAGCAAAGTCTGAAAATACAAGCTTTAAATCACACAATATGCCTTGAACTTACACTGCACTTAAAAAGTAACAAAATATGTTGATGAAAGTTAAGTTGACAAGAACCTTGTGACATTGAAACTAAAACTTTGGCTCCTACTGTTTTATGCCATAACTTAGAAATAAATGTTATGAGAAAATTAGCAGATTATAATGATGTATGATCATTTATTAGAATGTTACGTTGACTAAATACGCTACTAGAAACTATAACAAATGTGATAAAAAATCTACGAGTAAACAAAGAAAAGTACTTGGTTTAAGTATTTTTCTGATAAAGGGAAATCATTCATGTTGTGCATGTCGTAGTGGGTGTCAGCCCGAGAGGAAATAAGTCCTAGCCCGTTGTCAAAAAAAAAATCTTGAACAATTTAAGTGCCCCAATTTAAGTCTTCCCTTGTTTAAGTGATGGTGGTGTTGGTAGTTTTTACTCAGGATCACATCACATTGAATTTACCAGAGCACAGTTCAGCCACCGCATCGGTCCTTGGAAGGCTGTCAAGCAGATTACCAGTACTAGTTGTCTTCACTTTCGCAAAGAACTGAAACTTCTGTACACACCAGAGCAGAGGTACCGTGCGAATCACCGTAGAAAAAATTTCACGATCAATTACAACAAAAGTGACTTGCGCGCTCTACCTATTGAGCTAACCGGACGGCGTTTGTTTATGTGGTCATTTGCATGGTGTATTTACCGCATATTTGTAATTTTTGTGTTATATTTTGGCTTTAAAATTGTTTGTGTTAATCTCCAGGATCTCATTTTTAGTCGGAATGTATCACAAACCAGCAGACAGGATTTTAAAGTGGATGTTTAAATATTGCCTAAAGAGAATGAAGATTTATGAAAATATTAGATTTGTCAATGTGTCAATTTATAGTTTTATCACTTCACAATATTTTACTTTTTAAATACATTTTCAATTTTTTCATGAAAATTAGCATGAATTTGGAGGAATGCTGATTTATCACCTAAGCAAGGTATAAGTCTAAAATATTAAACCAGAAGTTACTTCAACGTTGACTTGTAGCAAATGGCTTATTTTTTTTAAATTTTGAACATAGTAAGTAAAGTGTGATAAATGAGTTATATAATTTTTGATGATAACGTATAAAACGTTTGTTAACATGTCGGCATTTTATAGTTGGAAATGTTATCGCATAAACATATATTTTTACCTCCTCATTTAACAAAATAACTTCTTAACAGAAGCAATTATTACATTTTCCTCTTCTATCCTTGTTGACGTGTAATAACGTATATCTTACCATAATGAAGTTAAAAGACTGAACTATTTATCCACGCAAATATATTAAAATGCTTCATCAAAGACTTCAAAGGAAACATTTTTATATCAAATATAACTGAAGAATTACAAATATGCAAATTATCTTACCTTGCACAATAGTGTGTTCCTGTTTTCCCTGGGATGGCAAAATGAAAATAAATGTCATTAGGCAACATTCTATAATTGTGAACGATGTAAGTTCCATCTCGTCCCCAAAGGTTATGCTTCAACAATAAAGACTTGCAATAATCAAGACAGAAAGAAAAAACAACAAATTTACTTCAAGTAAATTTTATACATAATTTATGTCTTGTAGAAGCGGTATATAAAATATTTTCAATTGTAGTTTTGTTTTAACTTCTCCTAGATCTCGCTTTATCCCGTCGTATGAGATGCAAACGAGAATGAATTTTCACAATTTAATAAAATTAAAAAAAATATTGTGTCAAAGGTATAACGTTTCTAAATATAACAAATTATTTCTTTAAAATTGGTTAAATAATGCTTTTTACTTTATGTTTCGAAATCGAGAGAGTTAATTGTTTTGGTTGTTTGGAGGGCTAAAACAACTAAATGTGAAAACAAGAATGTTGTTTTGTGTATTTCTTTGACTTCCCCTTCTTATTCACTTTGTGGGGGATTAACTTTTCAACTTGGGTGTTAAAAACTAAAAGAATTGATAGGAGTATTTTGTGATACATATAAATTATTATAACATTAATATTGTTATATATTTCATATTCGTAAAGAAATAAACTGTTTTGAACGACGTGTTTTTCTCATATCAAATGGGAAGATATGGAGGGGCAAGGATAAAAATTTAAAAATCTGATATATCTAATTTAACCAGTAATAGATTAAACTAGTTGATAATTTATAATTTAATCACGCGTTCTTTGTTATTATCTAGTCATTACAAGACAATTAAAGAGCATTACTTCTCAATTTTACCAGCTGAAAAATTCAGTCTTCGGCATTGTAGCACTGCAAATATTTATGTTTGTTTACCAAGAATGTGGAGAGCATATTAGCAGCGGTTTAGCCTGTTTTTTCATCCTCCAATTACACATATTTTTTCTCATAGTGATTTCATCTATTTATTGATGCCTTTCTATGTGATATGTAAATATCTTGAATGACTAATGTTTCATTGGCTAGAAATTAACTTTCCATCGAATTGTGCAATGTGCTTGACATACCAAAGCAAACATTATTTGTTGCATTTAATTTAACATTTACAACATAGTTGAACATCGAGTGGTAGTGTTTCTTTGATGTTAAGATATAATTTTCAATACTTTTTAAGTGGAAACAATAAAACAAAAATATTATATCAGATAACTTCTTCATTAATGAAGGACCACAAAAAGGGTAAAATTTATAACGACATTTGTACATAGATTTTCAAAAGGTTAAGGATGAAAACATATAAACAAAGTCTTAAAAGAAATGGTTTTGCCAAATTGAAACGATAAGATAAAATGGCATTCGCATTGAAGGTGTGTCTGCGAACAAAATTGTTAACAATATATATATATATAAATTCTTTCTAAGCGTATTATTGTATAGAGAAATTTCTAAATGCGGTCAAAAGAAGAAGAGTTCCCTTAAGTTCCAGGAGCCATTACATGGTTTTATTTAAAAATAGTACAGCACAAGTTCATAACAGTTGACACAGTAAAATTTGAAGAAAAAAAATTACACATGCCATTAACACAAATATTTTTATGATTCATGCGTAATGTTTAGCCCGTAATAGTGTAAATTTAACATAAATCACAAAAATCAGATGAAACTTGAAATAGAGATATAAAATTCTTCTATTTATTAACATTTAAAGAACATCTATAAGAAATATGAAAAGGCAAGAGGCAGACAAGTGGGTATGAATGTTGACAAACTTGACATTAAATTACAATTTAAAATATCATTTACGAGGGGTGATCCAAAAATTCGTGGACACCGTGCATAAAACAAAAAGTAATAAAGCAAATCACATGAATTTCTAATATCTTATTAAGTGAGCATATGTCGGCAAATTCTCAAAATATTGTAAAGATTGTACAAGAATTAACGATTCTGCACCAGTTTTTATACATAGACATGACAAAACGCGGCGCAGCTCACGACGTCACAAACGACGTTATGCTATCACAGTAAGTAATCTACGTTACCGTTTTGCCTTATAACTTTTCAAAGTATTCCCCGTTAACCCGCACACATTTTTCATGGCGGCGGACCCAGTCTCTAAATGTACTCGCATACCATTCCTGGCTGAATGATGACAGTATGCATTGGGTGGCTCCTCTCAACTCGTCCAGATTGTCAAAACGTCTCCCTCTCAACTCCCTCTTTAACCTGGGAAACAAGGCGAAGTCACACGGGGAAAGATCAGGCGAATATGGTGGATGACTTAGTACTTCTGCTCCAAGCTGGATTTGAATGGTCAGCTGTGTGTCCCGGGCACGGTGAGCAGGTGCATTGTCTTGGTGAAGAATTAAATTTTCAATAGATTCGGGTCGCTTTTTTCTCAATGTGTGCATCAAATCTCGGCGAATGACCTGTGGACAAAATGAAGATAATCAAGTATTCTTATATTGTAATGTTACAATCATTAATAAAACATTATGTAATCATTTATCTATTCATTTATGTTTTTATCTATGAATAAAAATAGTTATTCTGTAGATTCAAAAAAAATATATTACGGTACCTTGGCGTAGTAGGCTGCATTGACTTTCTGTCCAGCTGGGACGGCATGACTGAGGATTGGCCCTTTGGTGTCATAAAACACAATAAACATGTGTTTAGCTGCTGATCGTGATACACGTGCCTTCTTCGGTGGAGGCGATGATTTGTTTTTCCATTGCATTGATTGTTGTTTTGATTCAGGATCAAAGAAAAATAGCCATGTCTCGTCAACAGTGACAATGCGATCTAAAAACTGTTGACCCTCTTTCTGAAAACGTTGCAAGAAGTTTTTTGACGCCTGAACTCGCTGTTGTTTTTCATCCGCTGACAGCAGTCGAGGAACCCATCGAGCACTCAAACGACTCATTTCTAGCTCTTCAGTAACAATTCTCTGAACAGTTCCATACGATAAATTTAAAGAATCACTGATCTGCCTTAAACTTATCCGTCTATCTTCATTAATCTTCGCACGCACACTTTCAACAGTTTCTTTGTCTCTTACCTCGACAGGTCGACCAGTCCGCGAATCATCCCCAACACTTTCCCTTCCATCCGAAAATCGGCGATGCCATTTATAAACTAGAGAACGACAAACTGACGGTTTATTTGTCACACTTTCGATCATTGTTTTTGTCTCGCCAGGCGTTTTTCCAAGATTTACACAGAACTGTATAACTGTCCGAAGTTTTGCTTTATCCGTGACGTCCATTTTTGATAAAGCTGTTTTTAACACCTGTTCTTTAAAGCACGAGCGTAATATAACTGCAACTTCAAAATGTCTTCTGATACTGACAGAATGACGTCATACACATCAAAACAACGTTATTATAACGTTTCCCGCAATTTTCTTTGTTTGCACAGGTTTTACATGTGTTTAAATGAGATGAAAAAGTTTACATCACAGAGAAAAAGTAAGCTGCGCCGCGATTTTGATACATAATGTTTTGATGTTGTCATATATAGATAAAAAAATGCAATTGGTGTTTTAAAATTTGGTCAATTTATTAAAAAAGCATTGATTAATAATATCCAAAGAGTTCACCTCGGTAGGACGTCACGTTATGGAGATACACACATTGTCCACGAATTTTTGGATCACCCCTCGTATTTACTTTAATTTATTTTAAATACTAAATTAATTTCTGTTTGTAAATTTCTCATTCATTTTTACATTCTGGTCGCATTCATCTAAATCTCAAACATTTTACGTTCTTCTAATTTGCTACAAGGTCCATTTTCTTAAAATAATGGTGTAAATTATAAGGAAAAACACTTATCTAAATAAATATCTAAAAATTGGTCCCTTGAGTTATTCCTGGTTTTAAAGCAAACAAAAAAAATTCGAAAATTTCGAAAATCAGGTCATTTATGCGGAGATACTTATCTACTAAAATTCCTTGATTGCGTTGTTTACATCAGCACTATCGTCTTTTTGGGAATCATCTTATGAATATCTAAATATAGTAACAAAAAAGTAAACCATGTAGAAAAACAATGTCAAAATGATGGATTAACATTAATAATCAATCACTTTCTCACAACTTGACAAAAACTATAACGGAATATCCTTGTAATTTTCTCGTTAAATCGTGACGATGCGAGATTTTAAGGAATTTAAAAATGATTGTTTTATTAGCCTTTTCAATAGTTTCTTATCAAATCTTGAATGCAAGATCATTAAAACTTATTCACATTACAATAAAATTATATTTCCTATCTTATAGGACAGACGCTTAGGTAACAGGTTCTAATCCGATAAATTGTGTGGTATTTCATAGTTTCAAAAAGGAAAAAAAGAAAATTAATCATGAAAAGTGTTGCTTTAAAGCACTGTTTAATAGTGTTGTTTTTAAGTTCGCAAATTGAGGGAGAACAGGACACAGGCCACGAATATTTTTATAAAGAAGGTGAGATATATTATAAGGATTTTTTTATAAATTGACCTCTGTCCAGTAAAATTATTTTAAAAAAGAAAACAAGCATATAATGATGATATCGTCACCTTAGTGCAGTAATGGATTAACTCCTATTTTTTTTAATAATGGTATTGAATCCGTGACGATATTTAAATATAATATGGTAATACAACGACCCATCCAAAACGGTTTTGCTAATCACGGAGGATGTAAGTTAGGCATATTTACTTTAAGAAACGAGTTAATCTGATTTAAAATAGTCAAGTAGAATTATTTAGGAAAAGACATAATAAACGTTACGTTTGTTTTAGAATTTTGATTTATATTTACAGATTCAAGACAGACGGTTAATAAAGACACACAACACAAAATAGCTAAGGTAATATTTCAATTTTCACACATATTAAGATGTTAAACGGATGTAGGAACGATTTTTATTGTACTATGTTAAATTGATAGATTCATAGCAGTTTATATATTGTATATTTTTACAAGTATTTAAAGAAGTTAGTTTGTTTGACCTTTGTGCTATCCGTTTATTTGTAGTGTGTTTAACTTTCCTCAAAGTTTCCTAAAAGTTTCTGTTTACAATTATGAATTGCACAATGCATGTGTTTGTCATTGAATTGCTCCAAATTAGAATAAGCTTTTATTTACTGTTATGTGTGAAAGCCTTACTTTCTTTATTTACCTGTCCTGTATATTTTTTATTTGAGCAGCGTTTTCATTAAGCGGTACAAATCTTGATATTAATAATTTTATATAATTATGTCCATGCGAATGCCTAAATATTTTGCGATTTTATAATCATTTCCATTTCAGAGAAGTACATCAACTATTGTCAACCTTGGCATGTTCAAGCACAGGTCAGTTCCATCACAGGTGTACTCCATTTATGTTGACAGCACAATGACAAGGCTAATGGTTGAAATTAAAGTTACTAGATCTTCTCTGCTTGCAAGTCTCCAAAAACCTTCAGGTAAATTAAAGATATCAGTGTTTCAAAGCAACAATATTATTGATAATTTAATTTATATGATTTCCCAATAGGAAAAAGAAATAACTTAAATTTTGCAAAGTATATACGAGGAGTGGAAAGCACCTAATTGTGTACATCTAAATATAAAACAAAACGAAATTAAAAATTAAAATATAAATGAAAAATAAATAAGATGAATATATCGGTTAATGTGATTTGACATACACACTCATGCTTTAAATAGAAATAAACTATGTAGATAATGTACTGTTACAACTGCCCATGAAATGTATATATTTATACAGATTTTATTTGTTAGGTGTGCTTTGTCTTGGTCCAAAACGTAATAGGACGGCCAGTTCAGGAACAGTTACTGCTACTTTTGACGTGAACATTACATCGGTAGGTCTAGACTAAAAGTTTCGAAAGTTATAAAATTTGAAAAAATAAACATGAAAATGATCTGATTTTTTCCTTATTTCTCATAATTTTACCAAGAATTTGATTTTCACCTCTCGCGTTAATACTAAATTTAAGGAAAATAACAACAGTATGTTTTTTTATTATTATTCACAGAGTGATTATGGATTGTGGAGGCTACAGAAATCAGACGCAAGTACTTGGGATGTAAAGATTCAAGGAGAAAGTTCATTAGATTTTACCTATCAGTTTTTAGAAGGACGTTTAATGCAAACGCCAATAATCGGAGCTCCAGTCAAAGGTTTTATATATCTATCTATAATCGCTATATTATGTTTATTAGAATCATTTTTTTTCTTAAAACAAAAACCTTACATTTCTTATGCTATTAACCTGACATGTAGATGTTGATGTGTTTTATTTGTTCTACGGTTTCTGGAATTTAAAAAGAATCAATTTCCGTTGTATCAATTTAAAAATTATCTGGACAACTTATCGTCGATTCAATCAAATTTTATTTTTCAGGAGAAACTTACAAGACTGTGGTTACAGTTGCAGAATATAAAAATATAAAAATAGTTAATATGTTCCTTGTGTTTGAATTCAACAATTTTAGACCTGCAAACATGACGCCCGTAGTAAACAATGGAAGTGGATATTTTGAAGTTTCAAAGCTGAAAATGCTTGACAAGGTTGGCAGACTTTAATAATACGAATAAAGTCAGTACGTCAATTAAAAAACAATACATACTTCCAACAAAGTCAAACAACTATTTTCCTAATTAGTTCTTATCTTGTCAGGTGCAACAATTGGATTGATTTTTTTCAATTTACTTGCCCTTTGTTTGTCTCTATGGGTTGATCTTAAACGTTACAGTTAGACAAAAATAAATCTTCGAACATAGTCATGATGATTTAATACCTCAGATAACTGCTTAGATAATAGGCAACCAGCTGAGCAGAAACGTGTTCATGTTCATATTTATGACCATCATTGAAAGTATATGAAAGACAAATATCTTGATGAAAAATTCAGTTGTGTTATAGACAAACCGATTTAAATTATTTGATAATTTCATGTCTTTATCAATGAACAATTCGTCCGTCCACTTAATATTTAACAGTTTTACAAAGTCATTCATTAGTTTACTAGATGTTTATTTGTTATTTATCTCATTGCAGGATTTTATGATAGGGGTACAGGGCCGAGACAAATCTAACAACGTCTTCAGACGTGTAACTGTTATAAAACCAATAGCCGTGTTGCTGAACGTGCCTTTGTTTTCTAGTATGTATTTAAATTTGTTCATTATGCAATTTGATATAACGGTATATAATGACGATATTTTCATTAATCTTATGTAATAATTATGAAACCTATTTACTAAGATTGACTTGAAGTTAATGAACACAAGTACAATGTAGTGATTGATATTCATAATGAATTAATTATGCATGTAGATCTAGTGCAAAATTATTTACAACAATCACGCTTTTCATCTAAATAACCAATTAAATGACTTTGTCATTTTTAAAAATGGTGATGAATTATGAATATCTTTACTATCACAAAAAGGAAAATCTAAAATCAGTTACTCATTCTTAAGATTTACTTAATTATGTAATGTATTTTGTTTATATGGTCAACTGAATGGAACTGAGAAAAACGCATGCGGATCAAAACATGAAATAAACAACGTTTTACTTGTTTTATCGCTTTTTATATGCTTATACAAATATATGAAAAGGAATATTTGTTTGAAAACAAATTGAATAAGTTGGCTAAAATATGCTTTTACAAACACGCTGATGATTTACATTTATTAGATCAGACAGTTAAACTTTACGAAAACACCACACTGGACATTCCGTTTACTGTTACCAACAAACTGTCACAAGATCAAAAGCTGGACATCAGAATAAGAGACACCAAAGGTTTAGCCGTACAACCCCTAAACGCTTCTACTACCCTTAAACCTGGCCAGAATTTCACAGGACAATTTACTATTAAAGGCAATCTTCCTCCGGGAAACGAAACGTAAGTATATTTTCCGAAGAGTCTATTTGTATTAAAACATTTGAGTTTCGTAAATGAAACTAAATGCATTTTGATTACCGATGATATAATATATAAATAATTATTCTATAAAAAACACTTTTATTCATTATATGATTCCAGTAGTTTTCATTTTCATTCGGTTTATGAATACTACTAGTTCTGCGATTTATCTTAAGTGTCAACATTTTAATTTTAAAAGTTTGGAACTGTAAAAACATATCTTTACTTTAAATAGGACCGTCACAATCACAGTTACACGTGTTCTTGGGATTGGCCGTACAAGTCCAGGACCATCTGCCATGCACACATTTGTTATACTAAGTAATAAAACAGTAAGTCTCATTTTGTTTTTGTTATATCAGCTTCAAAATTATTAACATGATCTCGTCTTTATCATTTAAACATTAATATAACAAACCATACATTTAAATGTAATAATCTAATAATTTAAATGGATAAAAATTCGATTAACAATGAATTTATTATCTTTAAAGCGACATTTGACAATTTCATTATGTTGACATAATAGCTTAAACACGGCTATATAATCAGTGTAAAAAGATTAGTCAACAAAGGTTACGCCATTATAATTCTAAATATGATTGTGATTTATGCAGACAACAACTTCTACAAGCACTAGTACCACAAGTACAAGAACAACAACATCCATGTCAACTTCACAGTCTGTGGTTACAACATCCTTTTTGAATTCGACATCTTCAGTTGGATCATCACACAATTCATCAACAGTAGCTTCTGTTACGACAGTCAGTAACAAGCAAACAAATGCCAAGTTCACAGCAACAATTCAAAGGGGACAGTCTAATCCAATAACTACGACACATTATGTTAGCAACGCTTTATCTTCAAATGGCCAAGCAACTACAAGTATAACGACAAAACATGAAAATAAAAACAGAGCGTTCAGCAGTGAAGAGTTGTTTGGCGCAGCGTCAATTTCTGGAATGTCAGCAGGACTGCTTATTGGTAATTATTACAGATATAATACGTTTTATATAAAGCATGAACTTGTCTTCAATGTGTTATATGCTTTTGAAAGCTATGACATTTCACTGTAAATTGTTTGAAAAAAACTTGATTACGTTGGTCAGAATCATTTCACATTTAATCCAACATTATTATGCCTTGTTCATTTAGCAACTTGTTTTTTAATGATATGTTTATTTTATGCAGGGGTAGCAGCGTTAGTAACGATGGGGCTTGTGTTTAGAAAGTTCATCAACAAAAAGAAAGTCGCACCCCAAAACGATGAGAATAAGAATTCTGTATCGGAATTGTCATGGACTTAATTCTTTCTGCAAAATTTATCCTATATGCATGTTGAAGCCACATTGTGATTAGCCGGTTATAATTGGTTTATTAATTATAGCTATGTTTTAAAGAACTAAAATACAAACTTTGTTTGAACTGTTCGATTATTAGGTTGTCATTTGTATCAGTGGTCATCTTTTCTTATGATTGCTGTATTTATTTTCTAGGACATCAATTGTGTTTTCGCTTGGTTGTTTCTTTTTTTATTTTATTTTATTTATTTTTTTGTTGTTGTTGTTTTTTTTTTTTGTTCTTTGTTGTTGTTCTTGTTGAATTGTATAACCGATTCTAGAAGTATTTTTTTAAATTAAAATTTATTAACAAAACATATTTCTATCTTAAATAAATACTACAATCATTAAGCTTTGTATGAAAAGGCATTTTTAAAAAGAAAATATATGGGAAGACAACAGCTATCTGTATATTTATGGAGCTAACGTAACTATTATGAGTATTTATTACTTATAAAAGACCCTATTAATTGAATATTCTTTTCTACTGTTCATACAATCCTAAGATAAATTATAAATTTAGGAGGTGTTCAAACAATGCAAGTATAAAACAAACAGAAAAGACCAATTTTTTTATGATTTCAAACATCTCAGGGTCAATCAAACTGAGCTCTGGTTGGTATCAGGCTACGTTTAATGTAAATCGTTTAAGATACTATTGATATAAATAATTTATGCATGACTAATTATTTACAATTTTCTAACAGCAGCTATGTTATGATACTGTTTTAATACTCATCATGCATGTACGATGTGTATTATTTGTATTTTGTAGCCTAAGTTAAATGTATTTTGAATGCTTATCAATGTTGACCATGTTTTGAAAAACTTTACAGCACATAAGCAGTGTTGTTGGATTTTTCATCATTAACGTTAGTATTTGCCACAGAGTCAGAGTTAATTGTTTTGTTACAATGATGATTCATGATATGCGATTCATTCTGAAAACTGAAAAAAAAACAAAGACAACAAAACAAGACAACAACAAACAAAACAAAAAATTGTGATAGTTATCCTTAGTTTTCAGGTTTTTTTTATAATACATGTTTTATTACTTAAACTTAAAAAGATATAAAATTTACCACTTAATTCTATAATTTTGAACAATACAAATAACATGTGATTCATTCTGAAACAACAACAACAACATAAAAACAATTCGATAGCTTAAGCTTAGTTTTTAGGGTTTAGAATTTTAGGGTGCCTTCTGGGTGACCTACTTGGGTGTGTCGGGGGCTGCGTCCTGTGAACGTTGCCTTTGCCTTGTTGATCTTTATTCTTGTTTTTTTTTATTTATAGAACATGTTTTATGACTTCAAGTTATTATATTTTAAAAGATTTTAACTATACCACTTGATATTTATAATTTTCAACAATAACAAAAACCATGTGTTTCATTCTGGAAAAAACCTACACGAACAACAACCAAACAAAACATAACACAAAATACATTTTGATCGTTTACCCTTAGTTTTTAGGGTTTATTTATTGAACATATTTAATTATTTAACTTATTTAACTTTAAATTTTTTGAACTATAGCACTTCATATTTATAGTTTTATAATAATAAACATACATGTAGTAAACGTTCTCGAGCGAATCAATGTCATGTTCATGATAACATAGAGAAAAACAGAATCTATAAAGAACTTCCAGAACGAAAGAAAAAATATGTTGCAGGTTCGGTTTTATTGAGCCTGTTCATGAACGGTTCTGGAAAATGCAAGTTACCGTTCACACCCCCTTACACCGGCGTAAGTGCATAATTCAATATTTTAACATGAAAATGATGAAATTAGAAATTTAGAAACATCCTAAGTTTTGCTCATACGGCGCTCATCATGGAATCTTCATGTTTTTGGAGATTTTGTAACAACAGTGCTAGGTAAAAATATAATAGCTACAGTTTATACAAGGAATCAATAATAAATATGATTAAAATATGAAAATAAAATTTCACAAATAATGCAATAGACTCTTTATTAGCTATTTTTTAACATTTTATGAATCACATCTCTTTTTTTCTTACACTATGTAAGGAAAAAGAATGTTTAATATTATAATATTTTTACTGTTGGCAAATACAAGAAATGCTACAAAAAACATCATTTACATATTCCCGAATCTAAATTTCCTTTGATGAAACACAGTTGATGCTAATAAAGCATGACAACATTAATTTTGACCTTCTTCAAGATATTTATCTTAAAAATGCTAAATAAAGTTCAGAATGGTTAAGTTGTTCATGGATGTGGTCATGTTGTCTTCCCTTTTGTCGGTTGGTATATATTTGAAATCTTATGAATTATATCAAACATATCTGATAAGATAAGTTACGTTTAATGTCAACAATTAAATGCAGAAAGCGTTGCAGGCTCGGTTTGACTGATACTGTTTAAGGACGCAATAGTAAAAAAGTAAAATACATCAAGAAAATTTTCTGGTCAACTCAAACGCCCAGCCCCTGACTTAAGTAGTTCTCAACATTAAAAAACATGAACATGATGTTTAACAAAGAATTAAGAAGCATTTTCACATGTATAAGGGGATCATGGACCCTTTACTTTGACAATTCCTTGCCAATATTTGTTAAGGGTTGTATGGTCCACAGGAAAAAGATATTTGTCAACTAAACGAGGAACATAGGTGAAAATTAAACAGGAGATCAGAGGTTAAAAATTCTATGTATCAAAGACAGATGCGAATAGGAAAATGTCGGTAGCGTTGGTCACGTGGCTAACTTGGGTCACGACAATTTTATCTTCGTATGACACAAGTACTGGAAACGTTAAAATAGAAAAAAATGGTTAAAGATAAGTTGCTAGATCTTGTTTTGCAAGCAAGCATGGATAGATATGTTTAAACTAGTGGTAGGAATGCTGGAACCACCCGACAAATTATTGTTTTTTTGAAAAATTGTGACATGCCAATTTTTGTTGCCAAGTTGAGCTGAAAAGCACTATATTTCAGAAGATTAACATAAAATTTTTACGTGCGCCACATAAGTGTTACTTTGGTTATAGAATCGCATGGTGCACTTGCAATTTTTACTAAAAATATTATTTTGCTATCCTATCTTATTAATCAAATGTTTTGACTTGTCCAGTTTACTTAATTGAATAACTTGTGTCTAAGCAAAAGCAAAAGTCCACGTTATTTGGATCATCTCTCGTAATCATTATCTGTAGAGAAAACCCAAACATTTTATTATTTACCATCCAAACATTCCATGTTATCATTTAGTGTTATTACCTAAGCTGTAATGTTGTGCTTACCTGTAGCCTTACAAATGACTTATTAGTTGTGTTCAAATTAATTTCAATTTTATATCGTATTAGAAAACAAATTCTTTTATTCAAAAACATATAATTCGAAGACAATGTCACAGTTTTGTTATTTAAATGACAATGACACGTCTGGTAAGTTAAATAACTTTATAATCTACACCGTAAACAATTATTTTTGTGATGCCATGCCTGATGATATCAAGATTGCATTTAAAACATTAAAAAAGAAGTATCAATTTTAATGAGCAATTTTATTTTTATGCATAACTTTTAAAAACTCACATTATATACATCACCATAGTTATTTTTGGCTTCATTAAATTAACGCCGGTGTTATAGAATTTAAAAGAATGTATTCGTTCCCTTTACTTCTATCATGTAAATAATTATTTGAAAAGAAAACATGCAATTCTTATGCATTAAGAAATTACCTTGCTGATGATTTTGATACTCCTGATCTCTCCATGGTTATCGAAATGTAAAAAAAGGAATAGAACGCCATAATGCGAGTGTGAAGATTTAAAGTCCGTTTCGAAAGAATTGCTGCACCTCTAGAGACTCGGAATAAATGTTTACAACTATCGCAACTTAATTTTAAACTTAAAGTCGTACGTTTTATCTTTCATTCATTACTAATAAGAGTGCTTTTCATATTTGTCAGACAAATTGTAATATTACTAATTTCATAAAAGATTGAAATTGTGCGAAAATCTTGCCATTTTGTGGCAGCAGCATATGCAAATGAGTATAACATTTTGTGACGTATGCGATTTGTTTTGACGAATAATCAATGTTTGAAAATATTGAACCGTATTATTTTAACATTACCATTCACTCTTTACCTTTAATCTTTCTGCATTGAGTGCTCATGTTTTTATGTAAAATTAAAAAAAAACTGTTTCGGAAGTGTTTGTATGTATTATTCTGTGAAAATGCTTTGTAGGGGATTAACTTTTCATGTTATGTGATTAAAACTGAAGTGCTATGTAATTCTTATGTTTTGCCAATTCTTTTAATCTTAAATGGAATGCAATTGAAGTTGCTCAAAAACCTCTTTCTTTTGAGTTGTTTCCAAATTTAGCTACATTTCCAGTTTTGGATGGGGATCGAAAGGACGAAAGCGATTGTGTTTTCTCTCTCTTAAAGTGTATTTAGCTTAATATGTATGTTGTCTGAAGTTTTAAAAAATATTATTGAAATTTTGAAAAATAATACTTACACAATACCTGTATGAAGGAAATATATTTGTTATATCATGAAGAGTGACTGGCTCGCATGCAGAAATGTATTCTTAACTGTTAAAACCCTAATTAAAATAGCATAAGTAATAGTTTGTATTCTGATTAAGTACAGTCTTCATGTATAACGGAAAAATTGAATGGTACAACTTTTCAGGAATCGACAATACTATTATGAAAACAACGAGAAGATTCCATTTATAATTTCACAATTTAATTGAATTACACATGTATGAAATATCTTTATCATGAATGAAAATCATATATCGACAAAAGTAAAGTTCCTCCTTCTTCATGATGTTTCATGCACTCAAATATGATTTCACTCTCTAAACTCAGTGCTGTTGTCTAAAAAAACATTTTGAAGCATATTTGCTGATACTTTAATTAAGGCAATGCACAGAAACAAGATGAGAAATGTTAAGAGATGATTTTTCTTAAGTTTGCAAATCAAACCACGTTATAAGTTTTGTGTCCTTAGTGTTTTGTCAACACAAAGGACTTTGATCGTAATCAAATAGTAATTATACAAAGTATTCTCAGGAAGGAAGGAAAAATATTCTGATAAAGAAGTCATAAAGTTATAACTGAAATGGTGTAAAAATGAAAATACAAGATTTACAAGACGATAGTCAAAAATGAAG